CATGTCCTCTCTTTGCCGGACGTCTGGCAACCCTACACTGAGGTGATACCTATTTATCTACTCACATTTGCATGCTTTCAAACTTCTAGGTTGGCAGGAGCTGGGACAATCAACGGGAGCTCACTCCATCGCGTGGATTTGATCTTATGACTGCTGTTCTTCTGATCTTGCAGCACAGAGGCTTCTGTGGTTTAACCCACAGAGCCACCACGTCCCTTTTTTAACTAGTTTACCTCAAATTCTGATAGACTCATAAACTGATAGGCTCATAATTCAGTTTTTTTGTCCCAAGCTATACCAGCAGCCTTGTTTAAAAAGTGAGTGTTTTGGTAGTGGAAAGCCTATTTTGAATCTGCTCTTATGTGAGTCTACTGAATGAAACTTCTCAGATATTGTCCTATATATTTGTTCACCCAGGAAATCTTAATCTCTGCTTCAGGCATCAGAGTGTGTGTGTGTGTGACAACAATAAACTATTGGAAGAGAAAACGGTGTGCTAAGACTTCTGCCCTGTGCCCCCTTAATTGGACTGCTGCCTTCACATCTGGTGGGGAATGCTGTACCTTTGCCCATGTTGTAGAAAGGTCCAATTGCCAGTCATCTTGGCTTTTGTACATGGAAGAGAAAGAACATATTGCCTTGTTCTTTGCCCTAGGCAGCAAAATATCCCGGGTGCCCTTAACATCCATGCCTTCATTTGATCCTATGAAAAGCCAGCTAGTGAACGTAGCCAGCCAGTTTTGCTCAGAGCGGTGCTTGATGTCTTGACCAAACCCACTTGATATGTACTTCTAGATGGAATGGAACATTTTTCTATTCTAAACAGACACCAAATTATTTTTCAAGGTCCAGATTTAAAAGGATGTATGTCTAGAAATGCAAACTTTGCTAGGTTGTGTTGGCAGTAGAGACTGCATTTTGTGCAAATCTTTGTCTTGTTGCCTTTGAATCTTCTGAAGTCTGGTGAAAATACTTTTTCTGTAAGAAAGATGGAGGGAACGTTCCCCCCCCCATCCTTTTGCTTTTAATTGTTAAGAATGCTTGCAAATGCTAATTAGCTCAGGGGTCTTTAAGTAGAGCAATGGGCAGTGTTGAAGTGCATTGAGAAAAGTACATTCAACTGAATATTTATGCAGGAGGAAGGCAGGAGATGGGAGATTAGGAAACCTGGAGCGACAGGCATATGTGTGCTTTTTCTGGATTCCCTTTCTCCTGCATTTACAATGTAAAGCCTTCCCTTTCAGGCACCCCATTTAAGTCTTTGTTCACTGGATTCTAAAGAGAAAGGTGGCAACATGTTTTAGGGAAAGTACAGCGAGGGTGTCTGAGTCCCTTGGCCTCCAAAGTACTAGTCAAGTCCTCAAATTCCTTTTTCCTTCGTTTCTTTTCAAAATAAATGCTGTTCGTTCAACAAGAGTTCTGATTTACAAGACTTGATCTGGTAACTCTTTTCCCTCTGTTCTGTCCACTGGCTTTTTCGTTACACCCCATTGATCAGGCTAGCAGTATATAAAATCTATACTGTTTTTGGCTGGTGGGCAGGGTAGGGTTTGATCTGTTGATGAGAGGAGAGAGTAAAGATAACTGTCGAGAACTGTTTTCGAAAAAGACGACACTTTGCGTCTTAACAAGGGATGGATCATCTTGCTATGTTCCAAGGGCAGAATGCTGCAGTTTATGGACTGCTGGATTGCTCCAACATGGTCTGTTTGGGGAATGGTATAACACGAAGCACTTATGGGTATCCTGCAGGCCTTTGATCCCTTTCTGTCTACCTGCTGGACCAGTAAGGCGTCTTTTTTGCCCCCCAGTGCTCCTCCAATATAGGTGTAACAACAAGGAAGCAGTGGCATGCTTCCTCTGGCTCAGCCAGCCATCCCATGCCAGACTGGTTTCTCTGTTGCTATTTTATTTTCAATCAATGAAAAAACATCTTATTCCATGATCTAATTCCATACACAGAATTTGAGAGAATCATAGAGTGATGAAGTTGGAAGGGGCCTATAAGATCAGCAAGTACAATCCCCTGCTCAGTGCAGAAATACAAATCAAAGGGTATTTGCCAGGTAGTTGTCTACATTTCTCCTCAATGTCTCCAGTGTTGGAGCACTCAACACTTCTTGTAGCAATTGGTTCCACTGCCGTGCTGCTCTAACAGTTAGGAAGATTTTTCCTGATATTCAACCGAAATCTGGCTTCCTATAATGCCCATTGTTGCATGTCCTGCACTCTGGGATGATCGAGAACAGATCCTATCTCTCTGTATAACAGCTTTTCAAATATTTGAAAAGTGCTGTCATATTATCCCTCAGTCTTCTTTTCTTAAAGCTAAACATGCCCAGTTCTTTCAGCCTTTCCTCATAAGGCTTGGTTTCCACCCCCTGATCATACTTGTTGCCCTCCTCTGAACTTGTTCCAATTTGTCAACATCCTTCTTGAAGTGCGGTGTCCAGGACTGGACACAATACTCAAGGTGAGTCCTAACCAATGTTAAATAGAGGAGAACTAGTACCGTACTCCTGGGATTTGGAGACTATACTTCTGTTGATGCAGCCTAAAATAGCATTTGCCTTTTTTGTAGCCACATCACACTGTTGGCTCATATTCGGCTGGTGAACTACCATGACTCCAAGATCCTTCTGCTAGTAGTATTGCTGAGCCAGGTATCCCCTATCTTGTAACTGTCTCTTTGGTTTCTTTTTCCTAGGTGCGGCCGTATTTTTCTTGTGACTTTTATTTTCCTAACTTAACATGTGATTGCAAAAACATGTATGCGAGTTTTTTTTAACTCCTCTTTCAGGCACGCAAGATCAAGAAACTATGCACGTGAATTTGAATCATGCAGACTGGAACCTGTGGCTGTGGAATTTGGAGACTACCATCCACTCAAACCCATTACAGTAGGCTTCCTTGGCACTTGCTTTGAAATCATACATCACTGTGTTAATCCACGTGTAGTGTCAATCCAGAAAGTCACAATAAGAGAATATCTTTTTTAGGACTATCTGATAGAACACAAGCGAGGAACCTATTGCCTTTCAGATACTTTGGGTTGTAGCCCTTAGAAATCTCTCCTAACATTTCTTTGTGACAAGGAATTATGGGATTGGAGTCTAAAATAATTGCAGAAAGGACAGTTTATTGTTGGAAAACCTGGGAGACTGATTTGATACAGTACAGTGGTGCCTCGCATAGCGATCGCTTCGTTTTACGACAAAATCGCTTTGCGACGAACTTTTTGCGGTGGGGCTTATATTCAGGGAGACGAAATCGCTTTGCGACGAACTTTTTGCAGTGGGGCTTATATTCAGGGAATTTTTTTAATGTACAACAATCTACATATGGGGGAATTTCCCTTTGCGATGATCGGTTCCCTGCTTCGGGCACCGATCATCACAAAGCGACGATTTTTGGAGACTACCATCCACTCGAGGCGGTTTCAAAATGGCCGCTGGGTAAACTAAATGGCCGCATGCTGTTTTCTAAATGGCCGCTGGGTAAACAAAATGGCCGCATACTGTTTTCTGGGGTGGATTCCTCGCTTAAGAGGCACCGAAAATGGCCGTGCTATGGAGGATCTTCGCTGAATGGTGAGTTTTAAGCCCATAGGAATACATTGAAGGGGTTTCAATGTGTTTCTATGGGCTTTTTAATATCGCATTGCGACGTTTTCGTTCTGCAGCGATTTTTGCAGAACGAATTTACGTCGCAATGCGAGGCATCACTGTATCACTATCCTCGCTTAAGAGGCACCGAAAATGGCCGTGCTATGGAGGATCTTCGCTGAATGGTGAGTTTTAAGCCCATAGGAATACATTGAAGGGGTTTCAATGTGTTTCTATGGGCTTTTTAATATCGCATTGCGACATTTTCGTTCTGCAGCGATTTTTGCAGAACGAATTTACGTCGCAATGCGAGGCACCACTGTATCACTATTTGGGGGCTCCTGCATCCAGGGTCAGAATAGCCATGGTGATGTCTATCGTTCTGTAGGAAAGGAATAACAAGAGTCCAAAGCATTTGGAGGCCCAAAGGTTTCCCACTCTTGCAATAAAGATGCATGGTGACTTCTTTGTGACATCTTTTCTCTGGAATTCCTTCCCTACATTATTACATATGCTTTTTGGTGTCTGCTGGAGACCTGGCTCTTTAAAGAGACTTTTATAGAAAGTTTAACCACATTCCTGTCCCATACTCTATACTCTTTTTTGACTTTTCAGTTTGCTAATTCTGCCATGTGAATTAAACTGATTTACTGCCTTATCTTATTCAGATTGTTGGCAAAAAAGTAAAAAAAAAACTTTAAACGTTTTGTCTTTAAAAGAAAGAAATAGAAAACAGAACAAAATTTTGCAAGACCTCAGTGACTTGTTTCATTGTGAGCTATATCGATGATATTATGAATACTCACCTATTTCTGTTCAAGTAGGGGAAACGTAGTTCATAGTAAATTCTGCCTGTCTATCTTTGGTTTTCAAAAAAAGTAACATTCCTAAGGCCTGTGAATGAATTGTTGTCCATGTGGTTCTCAGGAGGGTGGATGGTGGCTTTTTCCCCCTTCTCCTTCCTCCTTTTGCATTCTGATGGAACAGCTATTCGATAGCAGTTGGGGGCAGGCAAAGCCTGGTGGAGGATGCTTGTTAAGAGTGCTAGACCTTACTCTTTTCATGTTTCTCATATCCTTTCAAGTCCTTTTCATAGTTGTTCTGTATTCCTCAGGTTACAGAATCTAAAACAAAGAAACTGGCACGCAAAGGAAGCTCTTCTTCTACATCTTCCTCCTCCTCCAGTTCAATGGTGGATCCTCTGAGCAGTGTGTTGGATGGCACAGATCCCTTGTCATTGTTTGCTGCCACGGCAGATCCACTGCTGACCACGACCATGGTAGGCTTCTTGTTACAATGGGAACACTGTCTCATTGTCTAAAGAAGTTTCTCTTTAAGTGAGAAGCTAAAATGGAAACTCCCTTTTCTTTGTGAGCAAATGTGGTTTCCCAAGAGATCCATCTCCTTGGGAAATTTGGTAAGTCTGATGACGTTTCTTCCTCTTAAATTGTTCATTAAAGACAGGCATTCTTCTGATGTCTATGCCTGCTTTTTAAAAAATGAGAGAGTTCCATAAAAAGGGGGCAACTCTTGGACATAAGCAAGAAGTTATGGTTGAAGGTGCAACCCACCTCCACAAGTAACGAGATTCAGACTGCAGGTCAGGCTAGACACATAAATATTTGCTTTTTGTACCCTAATGTCACCCCTACAGAAAGTAGTGTTTCCTCGAAAATAAGACAGGGTCTTATATTAATTTTTGCTCCAAAAATGCATTAGGGCTTATATTCAGGGGATGTTTTATTTTTTTTATGTACAACAATCTACATTTATTAAAGTACAGTCATGTCATCATCTTCTGGTTGCTGCACAATGCTGCATAATAGTGAAGGCCGGGTTTTACTTAACTTGGGCTTACTTATGGGGTAGGGCTTATATTACGAGCATCCTGAAAAACCATACTAGGGCTTATTTTCAGGTTAGGTCTTATTTTAGTGGAAAACAGGGTAATTCCACTGGTTCCCAACCTTGGGTCTTTAGATGTTCTTAGACCAAAACCTCACCACTAGCTGTGCTGGCCAGGATTTCTGGGAGTTATAGTCCAAGAACATCTAGGCACCCAAGATTGGGAAGCACTGATCTATAGCAATAGGGATGTGGAAGAACTGAAATTAGACATAGCCTAATATCTAATTATAGTAGATGATGTTGACATCTATGAAGAGAAAATACGCAGTTTGGTCCTGTCCATGGTTGTGTAGCCTCTCCTTGTACAGCTACTCATTATTTAAGGAAAGGAAAATTAATTGTGTTTGATGGCCTTAATCCTAGATGTGCAGATGGTTCCCCACTCTTTAAGAAGTCAGAATAGATCTCACCCCTTGTGTTTACTTAGGATGGAAGTTAAAGTACAAGAATAGTAATCAGTGTGTCTGTATTTTGAGTAAGGGTGGGCTTGATCTGTGGTGTTAAATTCCTTACTTTTGGGTTAAAAAATTCCTTAAACCAAAGAAAGTTCTTTTTTTCTTTGGGGAACATATCAGATAAGTTTCTCAAAAAGCTACTTTATTTCTTCACAACATATCAGATGATAATCTTTTCATTTATTTGAGAGTGTGATGCATTCTTTCTTTTTCTGTAGGAAAGTGCCAGAAAGAAACGTGACAAAGATGAGAATTTAACTGTAGGAAGTGACTTTGAATCTTGGTCAAGCAAACGAGGTGAAATCCTTGCTCGGTACACTACAAACGAAAAGCTCTCCATTGTAAGTGAGCATTGCATTTAAAAAAAGATGGACTGAAGGAAAAGAGACAAATCCAACTTTTGCATAAAAAAAGTACAGTGGTGCCAGCATAGTGACGATAATACATTCCAAAAAAATCGTTGCTATACGGATTCATCGCTATGCGGGGCAAAGAAGCCCATAGGAACGCATTGAAACCCCTTCAATGCGTTCCTATGGGCAAAAAACTCACTGTTCTGCGGAAATCCTCCATGTGGCTGCCATTTTCGCTGCCCGGTATGCGAGGAAAGGGCGTGAAAACACTGCGGGCGGCCATTTTCCCCCAGCGGCCATTTTGAAACCGCCAATCAGCTGTTTTTAAAACATCGATAGGCGATGATCGGTAAGCGAAATGCTTACCGATCATCGCAAAGCGATGTTTTCCCATTGAAAACATCACTATGCGATCGCTTTTTTGATCACAAAAACCTCATCGCTATGCGGATTCGTCATTAAACGAATCGCTCGTTATGCGGGGCACCACTGTATATTTGATACAAATGGCTACTGTATTGTGTTCAGCATACTAAACATCTGTAACATTCAGGTTTTTAGCAGGATGTTTTCTTTTTCTTAATGTTTGGACTTCCATATGTTTTAGTTTTTATCTCCTGTCATCACTGGCTATTAGCCACTCGGATGCACCTCCCCTTTTTTTCTACGCTGACTCCCAGAATCCTTGAAGCATTCCTAGGCAGAAATCTGCTTTGGTGCTTCCTAGGAGTCTTAGTTCTTTGGGATAAAGCCTCTCCAGAACCTAATGGGCAGCAAGACTACAACTCCCAGGAAGCACTGTGACAGTTTCCTTTAAAAAAAAAGTGAAACAGGAAGCAAGGCTAGAGAAGGCCATGCAGCCTCAGGCCTTTCTTTCAGGTGCATGAAATGTAGGTGTCTGTCAGTAGTAGTAGTAGTAGTATACCTTTTTACAGTCAAAGACAAGTAAAACCAAATCAATATAAAATAGATACATATAATTATTGTTTAGTAAAGTCGGGCAGGGTAGTAAAATTCCATTAAAACATGATAAAACAACCCCTTCTTTCCAATTAATAACATAATATATCCTTAATATAGGTAAAACCTCAGGCAGTGTTATGTTAAAAACATTATATTGTCCATCTGAAATCACCTACCCAAATATCTGTGTTAAAACATGATAAAACAACCCCTTCTTTCCAATTAATAACATAATATATCCTTAATATAGGTAAAACCTCAGGCAGTGTTATGTTAAAAACATTATATTGTCCATCTAAAATCACCTACCCAAATATCTGTGTATGAATAACCATTGCTGCAGCACAGAATTTGGCCACTTGTCTTGTAATATAAGGGGTATTGTCAGAGAGTAGCCGCTGCACATAATCCTCCTCTGATCTCCCGGGAGATTTACAGATAATAGGTGATAAAAGCTCGATGCGAAGATCCCGATAACAAGTACAGAAAAGAAAAACATGATCAACTGATTCAACTTTATCACTATTACAAGGGCAGAGACAATCTGGTGCAGGCAAACCTCGAAATCTTCCCTCCAGGAGCTTAGAAGGTAGTACATTAAGCCTAGCTAGCGTAAAAGCCTTTGTGGCTTTAGATGACATAATGCTGGCTAAATACAAGGAGGTGATAAAACCAGATTTCTTAAGGAAGTTATATTTCCCTAACTGGCCAACATGTAGTTCAGTGTCCCATGCCTTTAACTTCACTGCTTTAATGGCATCTGTAAAACCCATTGCTATAAGTATACTGGGAGAAAAGCTAATTTTCGATATCTCTTTTGTTATATGCTTCTTCCACTCCGACTGAAAGGAATCCAGTAGGATCAGTGGGGCCAAGCCTTGTGTCTGTCAGTATGTGTTTCTCGGATGAAAGCCGCAGACTTCTGCCTAGGAAGTTCTTAGAGAATTTTGGGAGTTGGAATACGAAAAGCCAGAAAGAGCACACCCCATTAACCCCACTGAAAGGGGCTTCTAGGATTTGAAATTAATATATCTGGCGAACCAGAGCTTGAGAACCACTAGTTTGGAGAACATTATTGCATCTTCGTGAAATGTTCTGCATGTCAAGAACATACAAAGGGCCTTATTAGATCAGGGCACCAGCCAATCAGTTGCTCATATGTAGTGAACCCTGATGTAAGACTTAAGCTCTCTAACCCTCTCTCACAGATGATCTGCAGCAGTTCTATTCAGAGACAGTTTTTATTCTCAACAGTACTCTGAAGCGAGCATCTGTGGTTACAAAAATAAAGCAATAGTGTCTTGTACTACAAAGTCTAAACTGGGGCTGGGCATGGGTCTCCCAATTCTGTCTGGAGGTCAGTTTCGGACTTTGGAGTGTATCCTGGTTTGGTCTGATTTGTGTGATGATGACTTGACCTGTACTGAAAAACCAAAATGTTTCTTGTTATATACAGTGGTGCCCCGCTTAACAATTACCTCGTTAAACGACAAATCCGCTTGATGATGAGGTTTTTGCAATCGCAAAATGATGTTTTAATGGGGAAAATTTGCTTTACGATGATTGATTCCCTGCTTTGGGAACCGATTTTTCTCTTTACAACGATCAGAAAACAGCTGATCGTCGGGTTTCAAAATGGCCACTCACCGTGCAAAATTGCTCCCCGCTGTTTTCAGGACTTAATTTTCGCTGTACAGGCACCGGAAAATGGCTGCCCTATGGAGGATCTTCGCTGGACGATTAGGTATTTAGCCCATTGGAACGCATTAACTGGTTTTTAGTGCGTTTCAATGGTTTTTTTCCCCTCACTTGACGACGATTTCACTCTACAGCTATTTTGCTGAAATGGATTAACATTGTCAAGTGAGGCACCACTGTACTGATTTATATGAAATATGGCAACGGGGTTTAAACCTGCCAAATTTCAGACAGTTAGCTTCAGGGATTTGCTTACTAGGTGTTAGGTTTGCTTAAAAAGGGAGAAAAAAAAGACCTTAATAGGCTGGAGCAGCTTGTTTTCCATCTGAATTGATTTGTCTTCCCCTTCATGATCAATTTGTAAAGCCACTTCACTTTGCCTTAGCACTGGACTTTGCCAAATCTGTTTCAATGAATTGATTTGTCTTCCCCTTCATGATCAGTTTGTAAAGCCACTTCACTTTGCCTCAGCACTGTTTCAGTCCTAACCTCATAACAATTAGTCCAGTCAGTCAGTTTATTGTTATGGTGCTTAGGCGAATCATACAGAAAAAATAAACCCAAATCAGGGTAAGTCAGTTCAGAATTTGAAATTTGTCTGTATCCAGACACAGTCCTAAATGAAGTGACCTCCAGTTCTAATAAGTCAAAAACAGAAAGCCATGTTAGGGTATCTGAAAGCAATCAAAATGCAGTCAGAAAGGGAGTCCTTTGATTGTGACCAGCTAGCATTTATGGCAGGCTAGTTCAGATCTGATAAGCTGGGTGTAACATGTTTTGGATCTGCACATGTCTCCCTTGCCCCTTTTTTTGTGGTTTGTGTGCAAGCTCTAGTGCTGTTAGTACAGTAAAACCACAATTTTCTGTTGCATCTTTCATGTGCTCATTTTCCTATTCTTGAAATGGATGCTAAACAACATGCTTTAGTGTCTAAAAATGATTTAATATCTTACTGGTGAAAGAGTTCTGTGATTCTCAGAAAAACCCAACAACGCAAAACCTGTCCGATGCATTGTCAATCTTCACAAATTGTAACTGATGTGCTGTATTGTTTAGGTTATATGTGGAGAGTTTTAGGTGTGTGGGAACAATTCTAGAAAGATATGTTATTATATAATGGTCTTATTTTATTTCAGAATCTGTTCATGGGATCTGAAAAAGGTTGGTGATCACTTTCATATATACAGTTATTTCAAACAATGTTTCAATCATAAGTTTTATAGTGCCACCCCTATTTCTATGGCAATCCGTGTTCGGTTAACGTAATTTTGTAAACCGAGGTACTACTGTAGTAATAATAATCATCATGTTCTGTCAAGTCAATTCTGACATATGGCAATGCCATTCAGGGGTTTCCAGGTTGGGAATACAGTGGTGCCTCGCTTAACGGGTGCCCCGTTTAACTATGAATCTGCATAGCGATTAAGTTTTCGCGATCGCATTGCGATGTTTTAGATAGGAAAAAATTGCTTTGCGATGATTGGTACACTGTTTCGCTTAACGATTATTGCATAGCGATGTTTTTTAACACCTGATTGGTGGTTCCAAAATGGTCGCCCGCTGTGTTTTCGCGTGGTTTCCTCGCTTACTGGGCAGCGAAAATGGCCGCCGTATGAAGGATTTTCGCTTAAAGGTGAGGTTTTTGCACATAGGAACGCATTAAACGGGTTTTAATGCATTCCTATGGGCTTTTTATTTCCGTTTAGCGACAAAATCGCTTTGCGGCGATTTTTGCGGAACGGATTATTGTGGCTATGTGGGGCACCACTGTACTCAGAAGTGGTTTACCTTTTCCTTCTTCTGGCGGCATCCTGGGACTGTGCAGGTTGCTTAAGGCTGCATAAGTTGGTGCTACTCATGGGAAGATACAGTAGGGAATTGAACTTCCAACCTCTGGTTCCACAGCCAGATGTCTATACCTCTCAGCTTTCTAGCCAGCTTACTCTCTTGTTATGCAAAGAGATATTTNATCTGGCATGGCAACCAGGCCACTCTGGGCAGCTAATGTGCTTCTTGATGAGCTCAGGACCCATGGAGGGTGAATACACCTGGATGAATGTGAAACAACATATCTCTCTTTGTACAGCCTCCCAACTCCCACATCTGGAAAACTGAAATTTTGTGTATACTGTATATGTTCTACAACACACTGGAAGCTATTTTTAAAGTTAGAAATATGGCAACCAGGCCACTCTGGGCAGCTAATGTGCTTCTTGATGAGCTCAGGACCCATGGAGGGTGAATACACCTGGATGAATGTGAAACAACATATCTCTCTTTGTACAGCCTCCCAACTCCCACATCTGGAAAACTGAAATTTTGTGTATACTGTATATGTTCTACAACACACTGGAAGCTATTTTTAAAGTTAGAAATATTGGTACATGAGACGTGCAATTTGAATAGTGCTTGCCCCTTCTAACAACATTTATACCAACCCACATTGCTTATGATTTTGTTCTTGTAAACTTGAAGTTATGGAATAGAATAAGGATGATGTCATTGCCTGCAGGAAAAGCAACAACTCCTGGATCAGCAGTTTCTGAGAAAGTGAGGACAAGGCTGGAGGAGCTGGATGATCTTGAAGAGGTGGGCAAACACTTTATTTTTCGGGAATTCTACTTGAATGTGTGCACATGCATGCATGCACGCATGCACACATCGCCACACACAGTTGCAATATTCAAAAGAAACAGAATTTTGTTAGAATTGAAGACTTTGTGAGTATCATTCTTATGAGTGAACATTGCAAGTGTAGTCATGCCGTTAGTAAAGATCCTTGTTGCTGTTTAGCCATTAAGTCATGTCCAACTCTTTTTGACCCCATGGACCAGAGCATGCCAGTCCCTCCTGTCTTCCACTGCCTCTCAGAGTTGGGTCAAATTCATGTTGGTCGCTTCAATGACACTGTCCAACCATCTCTTTCCTCTGTCGTCCCCTTCTCCTCTTGCCTTCACACTTTCCTAACATCAGGGTCTTTTCCAGGGAGTCTTCTCTTCTCATCAGAGGGCCAAAATATTGGAGCCTCAGCTTCAGGATCTGTCCTTCCAGTGAGCACTCAAAAGAGTCTAGTGAACTGTAATATTCGCTTTTTATATAGTCAAATTTGGAAATTTTTTAGTAATCTTATGACGGAATTTTTATGAGCATTCCAACAGTAAGAAACATTTCCGGATAAAATGAGAGGGATGGCTGCAGTGCTAGGGATTGAATGATAAAAGCTTTATAAAGATGTGCTCCTTGGGGTTCAGCAAGGTTCAGAGATCCATTTGAAGATCATCTGGAACAGCTTTTTTAGCGTATGGGCTACCACGCTGAGGAATACTCTTAGGTTAGGATTAATTAATTTATTTAAAATATTTTTGCATTGCTTTTCTCCTTAAAAAGGACCCAAGGCAGCTTCCATAAAAGCTAACGTTTAAAAGCTATAAACTGTAAGTACACAAATATTAAAAAGAATTAAACAAATATTAGAAATGGTAGATAAAATCAGTACTAAAAACACATTTAAAAAGCAACAAGGCACAACAATCCATTAAAAAACCCCTCTTACACAGCTAGTCACTAAGGAAAAATCTGCCTGGAGAGAAAGTCCTTTGTTTGCTTGCAGAAGGACAACAAAGATGGGGCCAGCCTGGCCTCCTGTGGGAAGGCGTTCCAGATTGGTCCTGCCTAGTTTTCAGTGTTTGTTAAAGATATTTCCAATTAGAATACCATTTCCAGGTTGATAAATTCCAAGCAATTTTATTAGTATATTCGTTTTAACCATATTTTATTTGACTTCGTTTTGTCTGACTGTTTCCATTTTAGGTATGTTGCTCCCTTTTTTTTTCAAGTAAGGATTGCCTAAAAGCCCTCTGAGTCTGTTCATTCTGTTTAGTTTTGTAGTGATTTTTCTTAAGTGATAACCCGTATAGAAAGAGACTCCCCCTTTAGTGAACTCGTATTTGATTTCTACTGAAGGGAAGATGTTACAGTGGTGCCTCGCTTAACGAGGATAATCCGTTCCAGCGAAATCGCTGTAGAGCTAAATTCTTGTTAAATGAAATAAAAAAGCCCATTGAAACACATTGTAAACCCTTCAATGCATTCCAATGGGCTGAAAACGCACCGTCCAGCGAAGATCCTCCATAGGGGCAGCCATTTTCAGTGCCTGTAAAGCGAGGAATCCGTCCTAGCAAACAGCGGGGGGCCATTTTGTACACCTGGTGGCCATTTTGAAACCCAACGATCAGCTGTTTTTAGATCGTCGTAATGCGAAAATCAGTGCCCGAGGCAGGGAACCGATCATCGTGAAGCAGATTTTTCCCATTTAAACCATTGTTTTGCAATCGCTTTTGCGATCGCAAAAACCTAATCGTCAAGCAATTTCCTTGGTAAGCAAGGCAATCGTTAAGCGAGGCACCACTGTATTTGTCACACAGTCTGCTTCAGGGGTGTCCCAAAGCATTTTGCTGCCATTGGTTTAAGTGTATGCCCCAAATCAACCAAATTGCTTTGGCACATGGGAGAGATAATCTGATAAAAATCTCTCCCCATTCCCAAAGCCAAACATATGCTACCGGAGTTCCTAATGATGTGCTGCCATTTCAAGAACACTAAAATCTACTGAAAGAGATTATTGCATCACTTTACTTAATGACAGGGCCGGTGCTAGTCTGCTTCCCCATATCTACTGACTCCTAAGAAGTACGGCCTTTAGTATATTGATCCTTGTAATTTGTGGCAGCAAAAAATAAATAAATGAGCGCATTTACTCAAGATGAAACAGGCACTCCTTTGACACGAAGAATTCTGGCCGGATTCCTTGAAAAGTGACCCAGTTGTACCCAGCTCTCCATGAATTTCAATGATGGGTTTTTACATAATGGTAACTCTTGGCAACTTTGCCCCTTCCAGGCCTCTTCCAAAGGAAGAGCAGGAAGCGTTGGAAAAGAAGCCCTCTTTTTGCTTTTATTATGTAAATGACTCACCATTTTGCACCCCTTTTGTGTGTCTTTTTTCTAGGGGTCACAGAAAGAACTGCTCAACTTGACTCAACAAGACTATACAAATCGGATTGAAGAACTCAATCAGTCTTTGAAAGATGCGTGGGCCTCGGATCAAAAAGTAAAAGCTTTGAAGATAGTTATTCAGGTCAGTTTTGTAGCATTTGGTGCATATATTTAGCCTCGGTTATACATCCATTTCATCTTTCTTTCAGTGAGCTCAGAGAGGGTTTGGTGACTGCCCTCCACATTTTAGAATTAGAGCAATCCTGTGAGGTAGTTAAGGCAAGGATCCAGTTAACGCCATACGTTTCCTGAAGGCAGTGTTGGCCTCGGAATTTGCTGAGGTGGATGGAGTTTCAGAGCTTAGAGATGTTTCTTTGACTGGCAGCTCCGAGAATTCTCTCGTGGTCAGTGGGATTCCTCAGTGCTTGCTAGGGTACCTGGGAGTTGTGACCCAAAAAGTAACTTTCCCAGCTCTGAAGGAGCTTTCCACAGGATCTTCAGTGAATCCATGTCTTCCCCTAATGCTTATTCCATGTCTCCATGTTGGGCCCCTTCTGCACAGCCACTTGATGGAGATGGCAAGGCAATCGGAGGTGGCGGCTGCCGCCCCTTCCACACTAGTTTGCTATAATATAGGTGTGCACTAAGGAGGTCACAGTACGAACGCCCAGCAGCAGAAGAGGTAAAATCCCTTGGGTCTGGCACTGGGCATCCTGTCCAGATGTAAGTGCTGGCAGACACCCAGTGCTACCGGTTCCCACGTGGCAGAGTGGTGGTCATTCTGACAGCTCATCTGGTGTAGTGTTTAAAGAATCAGACCAAGACATAAAAGATCTAGGTTCCATTTTCTCCTAAACCAGTGGTTCCCAGCCTTGGGTGCCCAGATGGTCTTGGACGAAAACTCCCAGAAGCCTTCACCACTAGCTGTGTTGGTCAGAATTTCTGGGAGTTGTAGTCCAAGACCATCTGGGGACCCACAGTTGGGAGCCACTGATTTTGAGCACCCAGTCTCTCTAGGCTTGTTGTTATGAGGATGGTGGGGTAGGAAGAGAATCACATTCCCTGTCTTGAACTCACTAGAGGAAAGGCAGTGTATACATATATGTGGGTTGTGTCCTGTCAAGTTGATTCTCACTTAGTGGCGACCCTCATAGGTTTTCTAAGGTATTTGACAAATTTAAGTAATGGTTTTACCAGTGTCATTCACCCCCCACCCCATGAATCTCTATGGCTGAACAAAGATTTGAACCCACGTCCCTTAAGTTTGAGTCCAGTTTGACCCACTATGTGTCTCTCCCTCTCATGTACATGTAACTAGCAGTTATTCGAACTTGGGTTTGTTCACTGTAACAGGAACATCAGAAGCTGTGTTTAGATTAAACTCCTTGTCCGGCGCAGTGGTTCCCAGGCTTGGCTAACTCAGAAACCCTGGCCAGAACAGCTGGTGGTAAGGAATTCTGGGAATTTCAGTTCAGAAACACCTGAATTACCCAAGGTTGGGAACCACTGATCTGTCCCATTATTGTCTTCTCTGGCATGCCCTGTGAGGAAGGACTGGGCATGCTTAGCCTTGAGATAAGATGACTGAGGAGAGATCCGAGAGCACCTTTCAAATACTCAAAGGCTGTCACACAGAGGAGGGGCAGGATCAGTTCTTGATCATCCCAGAGTGCAGGACATGCAGCAATGGGACTCAACCTATAGGAGGCCAGATTCAGACTGAACAGGAAAAACTGCGTAACTCTTAGAGCAGTATGGCAACAGTAACTTTTCCAAGCTTGGGCTGAAAATAATACACTTTTCAAGCTAGCTTTTAAAATCCTATGTAATGAATGACGCCCTGACATAATGATTTTTCTGCCTCCCCACCCCCCACCCCCATTCCAGTGTTCTAAACTTCTTTCAGACACAACTGTGATTCAGTTCTATCCAAGTAAATTCGTCTTGATAACAGACATCCTTGACACATTTGGTAAGTCCTGAACCTACTGCATGCCGTTTTGTCCTGCAGATCATCGGATCCTAAGGAATGTCTTTTCCATGAGCAAGGAAGGCATTGATACTTGTGGAATCTTCTATGTCGGGGTGGCGTTGTCTTTCTCCAGTGAGATAAGGCTGCTTTGTGTGCCATTCATTTGGCTGAATGCTGGCCGTAGGATCGCACCCTTAAGTGGTCATGTCAGAATTTAAAAAGACTTAAATATTGTGGCTTAGTCTGAAAGGATAACCCTGTGTTCCCACATGAGGGAGATTTTGCTCTATTTGTTTGCTACCTTGTTCAGAATTTTGCACCCAGGTATTTGGGCATGTATGTGTGTGTATCATGGAATCTTAGAGCCAGGTTGTCTCGTACTTTTCTGGAATGGTCTTTACAAAAGGCCTATTCCTGGTAAAGATGAAAAACTGCAAGGAGTAGTGTATTGATTTTGGAATAAAGTGTTCCTCCTAGAAGCTGCAAGAAGACTGTCACTGATATGGGGGTGGTGGCGTACTTCAAAATTGATCCCTACCCCAATGAGTGGATTTAATGTTTGACAAACTGCAAATTGTTTCCTTAATTCTTGCCTAAACAGAAATGAGAGGGGAAATTCTGACTAAGAGCTAATGTCAAATAAAGGAAATTGTATCATGTGAAATCTGAAATTTAAATTGATTTAAATTTCAAATTCCCCTTCATGGATTGGTGCCTTGTCGTGGCGTAAGGGCTCCAGTAATTCAGAGAAGCAGGGACACCCAAGACAGACAGGTCAGAGTGGAGAGTCCTGACTAAACGCGATCCACCTGGAGCAGGAACTGGCAAACCACTCCAGTATCTTGGCCAAGAAAACTCAATGAACAGAAACAAAAGGTTAAAAGATATGACGCTGGAAGATGGGCCCCTCAGGTTGGAAGGCATCCAACATTCTACTGAGGAATAGCGGAGGACAAGGACAAGTCACTCCAGAGCTAATGAAGTGATTGGGCCAAAGCTGAAAGGACGCTCAGCTGCAGACGTGCGTAGAAATGAAAGGAGAGTCTGATGCTGCAAAGAAAAATACTGCATAGGAACCTGGAATGTGAGATCTGTGAACCTTGGTAAGCTGGATGTGGTCAAACAGGAGATGGCAAGAATAAACATTGACATCCTGGGCGTCAGTGAACTAAAATGGACAGGAATGAGTGAATTCAGTTCAGATAATTATCATATCTACTATTGTGGGCAAGAAACCCATAAAAGAAATGGAGTAGCCCTCATAGTCAACAAAATAGTGGGAAAAGCTATACTGGGATACAATATCAAAAATATGAATCCAAGGCAGACCTTTCAACATCACAGTAATCCAAGTTTATGCACCAACCACCGATGCTGGAGCGGCTGAAATTGACCAATTCTATGAAGACTTACAACACCTTCTAGAACTGACACCAAAGAAAGATGTTTTTCTCATTATAGGAGACTGGAATGCTAAAGTAGGGAGTCAAGAGATAAAAGGAACAACAGGTAAGTTTGGTCCTGGAGTTCAAAACGAAGCAGGGCAAAGGCTAATAGAGTTTTGTCAAGAGAACAAGCTGGTCATCACAAACACTTTTTTCCAACAACACAAGAGGCACTCATTTCACACGCTAGCAAGGATATGATCAAAATCCTCCAAGGAGGCTTCAGCAGTATGTGGACCGAGAACTCCCAGAAGTACAAGTTGATTTTCGAAGGGGCAGAGGAACTAGAGACCAGATTGCTAACATGTGCTGGATTATGGAGAAACCCAGAGAGATCCAGAAAAATATATACTTCTGCTTCATTGACTACACAGAAGCTTTTGACTGTGTGGACCACAGCAAACAATGGCAAGTTCTTAAAGAAATGGGAGTGCCTGACCATCTCCTGAGAAATCTATATGTGGGACAGGAAGCAGCAGTTAGAACTGGATATGGAACAACTGATTGGTTTAAAATTGGGAAAGGAGTAACACAAAGCTGTATATTGTCCCCCTGCTTATTTAACTTATATGGAGAATACATCATGCGAAAGGCTGGACTGGATGAATCCCAAGCCAGAATTAAGATTGCTGGAAAAAATATCAACAACCTCAGATATGCAGATGATACCACTCTGATGGCAAAAAGTGAGGAGGAATTAAGGAACCTTGTAATGAGGGTGAAAGAGGAGAGTGCAAAAACGGTCTGAAACTCAACATCAAAAAAACTAAGATCATGGTCACTGGTCCCATCACCTCCTGGGAAATAGAAGGGGAAGATATGGAGGCAGTGTCAGATTTTACCTTCTTCGGCTCCATGATCACTGCAGATGGTGACAGCAGCCATGAAATTAAAAGACACCTGCTTCTTGGGAGGAAAGCAATGACACACCTAGACAGCATCTTTAAAAGCAGAGACATCACTTTGCCGACAAAGGTCCACATAGTCAAAGCTATGGTTTTTTCAAGAGGTAATATATGGAAGTGAGAGCTGGACTATAAAGAAGGCTGACTGCCGAAGAATTGATGCTTTTGAATTGTGGTGCTGGAGGAGGCTCTTGAGAGTCCCCTGGACTGCAAGGAGAACAAACCTATCCATTCTGAAGGAAATCAACCCTGAGTGCTCACTGGAAGAAAAGATCCTGAAGCCGAGGCTCCAGTCCTTTGGCCATCTCATGAGAAGAGAAGACTGCCTGGAAAAGACTCTGATGTTGGGAAAGCGTGAAGGTAAGAGGAGAAGGGGACGATAGAGGACGAGATGGTTGGACAGTGTCATCAAAGCGACCAACATGAATTTGACCCAATTCTGGGAGGCAGTGGAAGACAGGACGGCCTGGCGTGCTTTGGTCCATGGGGTCACGAAGAGTCGGACACAACTAAACAAAAATTTTAAATTAAAGTTTGCTCTGTGTTTTTATTGTTCGTGTTTATTTTTTAGAAAGGTATTGCAGCCGTGGCAGGGCTGTGGCACATGTGGTCACCTGGCATTTTTACTGACCACCTCCATCCTCTTCTATTAGTCTTGCATGCTTGGGCTAATGAAAGCTAAAGAGCAAAACATCTCGAGTGTTGGATGGCCTACTTTTAAGATGTTCAAAACAGTATATTATCTTGATAGGCCTTGTAACAGCCCTGTCAGGTAGATGACTCTTATCATTTCCCATGTTGAAGACGTAGGGCCAAACCTGGCCTTTTAGCGGGATATAACTTTCTTCAAAAGGGACGTGGTGGCGCTGCAGGCTAAACTGCAGAAGCCTTTGTGTGCTGCAGGGTCAGAAGACCAGCAGTCATAAGATCGAATCCACACGACAGAGTGAGCTCCCGTCGCTTTGTCGCAGCTCCTCGCCAACTTAGCAGTTCGAAAGCATATAAATGTGAGTAGATAAATAGGGACCATCTCGGTGGGAAGGTAAACAGCGTTCCGTGTATAGCTGCGCTGGCCACGTGACAACGGAAACTATCTTCGGACAAACGCTGGCTCTACGGCTTGGAAATGGGGATGAGCACCGCCCCCTAGAGTCGGACACGACTGACTAAAATGACAAGGGGAACCTTTACCTTTTACCTCTAACTTTCTTCATGATACTTTTGGAATTCATGGATTATAGTTCAAATCTCTTACCTATTACACAGGATCTTTAAAAGCTTCTGAATGCAAAAGGCAGTATTTTAACAATGCAATCTTCAAAGCTTTCTCCTCCCTGAGCCAGTCTTCTTACCATTTGAAATATTTCGGATCAATTCTACAGACAGAAATGTGCTATTACCATGCAGTCCCCCAACACTGTTCCATTCTTCACTTTTATTCTTCCAGGACTGTGGGGCTGGTGATTTTATACAATAGATATTTGAAAGTACTGTTCTGTTTTCAGTGCCATAGTCTATTAAAAGCAGTCATTAGCTTTTCCTCCTCACCATATTGTGTTTCTTGTCACACCAAAAGTTGCTGACACCAGTAAAATGGCTTTATTCTATAGATTTAAAAAGCACCAAATGTTCTTTCCTCGGCAAAACAAATGTGAGTAATGTGACCTTCCTGCAGCTTCTCATACTTCAGGGAACACAAGCCAAAAATAAATGTTATTGACATCTACAGATGTCCTGATCCTCACTTTGGCCTCCTGGGCTGTCTGGTTACGTTGAACGGAGTTGCAAATGGTTGTTGTGGGTTTTTCGGGCTCTTTGGCTGTGTTCTGAAGGTTGTTCTTCCTGATGTTTCGCCAGCTTCAGTGGCCATGGGCATCTTCAGGGGACAGCACTCTGTGCTCTGGTGTAGTTGGCTTTCGGAGTGCAGTATTTATGGCTGTGAGATGGGCTTTTGTCTTGACAAAACTGTCTCCAGCAAAGAGAGACATGTGTGAAATCCATATCGGCAAGAGCTTTTGGACTTTTAAGTTCTTCACATTGGTACAAGCATGATGTAGCGGTCTTGATCTATGAAAATTCATCTATGTTATGGTGACATTTTTAGTGTTCTATAAAAGTATCACCTACACTTGCATTTGTCTCCAGCAAAACACACAGTCTGAAGCTGAGGTTTATGTCGTCTTGATAACAGATACCCTCAAGGAGACTCCCTTACCCCTGAGGAAACCTCTTCTTTCTCTGCAGCCAAGCACTTCACATGGGAACATTTGTCCCGGCTCTTGCCTTCAACTTGTGGCATTGGTGTCTGCTGGGAAGGGGGTCCGGCCTCCTCTGATGTGTTCCCAGAGCATCCTGCATTTGCCTCGCTGAAGATCCAGAGCCAGGCACTTCAGGGACACCAAAGCTTAGGGCTTCTGGATTTCTGCGGTCCAAAGTCTATAGGATCCAGCAGTTCCTCACCCACATCTGGTTCAAAGGGCCTTTGCTCATCCTTGCTGGAAGATACATCTGAGAGAGCCGTGACCCTGAAGGAAAGCATTCCAACCTGTTTACTTGAACAACCTGATACTATATATTTTGTTCCTGCTTCTGTACATTATGGTTTCTTTGTAATTTCAGCAGCTGAAAGTGAGGCTGTACATTTGCTCTTTCCTCCCACCCTCTCTGTGTTACTGGTTCTTATTGAAAGCAAGGGTATATCCAACTTTTTGCAAAACAAATTTCAAGTAAGAGTGTATCCAGCCACTTTTAGAGCTTTCCCTGCATTTTATTTGTTTATTTGTCCAGCTTGTATACCATCCCTTTGGCTACAAGGCCACTCTGGGCAGTTCCATGTAGTTCAATAAAAAAAAGGAGTTATTATATATATATATACTGTACTGTATCTTTAAAACTGGCGATGTCTCTTTTAAAAACAGTTTGGTTCCACTAGGTGGTACTATAATTCAATAAGAAAACAATCCGGCAAATGGAAAACAAGAGAATACTTGAAATTAGAGACAAGTCACTGGAAAATATTGTTTATTTTAGTTGGACTCTAGATTCCAGTTTTTTTTAACCTATACCATTCTGAAGGCAGGTAAAACAAACAAACAAACTCGATTAACACTCAAGAAATTTCTAGCATAGGATTCAGGTCTCCCAGGAAACGGTTTTTCTACATGCCTTAGCCCAGGATTCCTCATGTTGAGGTCCTCCAGATTCCTGGACTACAGCTCCCATCGCCTATAGCTAGCAACTTAGTGGGTTATACGTACAAAAAGTAATGGCTAAAACATGTTAAGTTCAGAAGTACTGCAAGGCAATTAACAGTCCCCACGTTGCTGTGTTCAATTCTTTTTCACATAAGCTGTGAAGGTTAATTTGCAATCTCTGTCATTGTTTAGTTTGAGAATCTTTTAAGAAGTGTCCAGTTTCTTACTGTTTTCTGTACTGGAATTCACAACTGTACTGTCTCCACTCTCTTACCTAGTATTTTGATAAAAATGTTTGGTCTCTCCTCCCTGCTGTAAAATCTTCTTTTGAAAGTGATTGCATTCTACACGTAATATTTCTTTCTAAAGTTTATCTTGTTGTTCTGTACCACCAAGTTGGAACTAATTTATAGTGACCCTTGCAGGGTTTCCAGGGTGTGTGGCTTTACCAGCTCCGCACACCCCAGTGAATTTCCATGGCTGAGTAGGGGTTCAACCCCAGGCCTCCCGAGTTCATCATTCTATTTATTTAATTTCATGTATTTGTTTTACGTATAGGCTGCCTTTCTCCCAATAAGGGGACCCAAGGTGGCTCACAATATTAAAAGGATAGAATTAAAAACAGAATAAGTTAAACGTTAAAAAGCAATTAAACTGTGTGCTAATTGAAATAGGGTTAAATAATTAAACACAACTAAAAATTAAAAACTATCTGAATTTTAAAAAGGCATTCAGAGACTCGATTATGATTGTTAAAAGCCTGCCTGAAAAGTTGGGTCTTCAGCTGTTGGCGGAAGGGTAAGAGGGAGGGGCCAGCCTGATCTCCCAAGGGAGAGCATCCCATAGCCTGGGAGCTGCCCCAGAGAAGGCTCTCTCTTGTATCACCATCAGCCATGCCTGCACCAGCAATGGAACCAAGAGGAGGGAGGGGCTCCTCTGATAATCTTAAGCACTGAGAAGGCTCATATGGGGAGACATGGTCCTTCAGGTAGCCTGGGTATCTTAGTTCAACTAACAAGGTTAAAATGTAATTGTCGTCTTGATTTAAAGCCTAATGCCTAGATCTAAATGTATATTTAGGCCCACTGTTTTGCAAATTATTTTCTTCTCATTGCAGGAAGGCTGGTATATGAGAGAATCTTTTCTATGTGTACTGATAATCGCAGTTCCTTACCAGGTAATATTTTTATTCTGTTGTGCTCTTTACTATGGACACATCCTTACTCATTAATCTAAGCTACTTGAATTTGTTGGTTGCATTTATAGAAACCATAAACCATGGTTTGCGTTAGTCACGGTTTGCTGCTTAATTCATAAACTGTCTTGCACATGACCAAACAAATCACAGTTTCTTTTCAACATTTGTGGCCTGATTCTCTGTAGCTCCTCTTGTCAGCTGCTCTTTCACAGTGGGCGGATGGGTAACAGGTCAAAGGCAATTCATGGTTGTGGGTTCAGGCATAAGAACATGGCATGATTTGAAATAGCCAGAGTTCATTTAAACAAGTCAGCAACAGCCTGTGACTTTCTCTTATAGTTTCCAGCTATCTAACAAACCATTCTGCTTATGGGATGGATTGTGGCAAAGCACAAAACTAGACTTTGGAAAACACTAAACCTGGCTTTCAATTCTGCTTATGGGATGGATTGTGGCAAAGACTTTGACAAACACTAAACCTGGCTTTCACATTGACTTACGAATGGCCCTACATACGGACTTTTCGATTTATGAACAGCTCTGTTGGCAAAAATTGGCATCAACTTGTTGAGGCTCCATTCGCAAGCCAATGCCATTTTTTTTGCCAGTTGAGGCTCCATTCGCAAGTCAATGCCATTATTATTTTTTTGCCAGCGGAGCCGTTCGTAAATGGCTCCCTGCAAAAAGGCAGGGAGGAACTGCAGGAACCTTGAATTTCCCGCCCTTTCTCCCTCCCCTTTTGGCTTTGGAACTCTCAAGAGGGCTTCCTCCGATATCGGGGGGGGGGGAAAGCCCTTTGAGATCTCCAAAGCCACCGATCGCGGCGGCAGGACCCCCAGGGAGGTCTTCCAGGGCTTGCCCGCCATCATGGGAGACCTCCCTGGGGGTCCCTGCCCCCGCGATGGGCATCTTCAGAGCTCCCAAAGGGCTTCCTCCGATGTCGGGTGGAAAGCTCTTTGAGAGCTCCAAAGGAAAAAAGGCAGGGAGAAAGGGCTGGAAATTCAGATTTCCAGCCCTTTCCCCCTGCTTTTTTGCCTTTTTAAATGCTGGAACAGATTAATTCCATTCCCATGCATTTCAATGGGAAATGGTACTTCGACTTACGAACTTTTTGACGTATGAACATTGCTCCAATATGGATTAAGTTTGTAAGTCGAGGTACCAGTGTATGTGTAAATTTGGTCAGCAGAACATGTGGATGTATGATGAGACTTCTAAATCTGGAATTGTTGAAAAGTCTATAGTACTAGCCTTTCTGTGGCATGTTGCTTTAAAACTGACTGAAGTTTTGCTAAGTGTTCAAAGAAAGCATGTGCGTGTTAAGTGAACGGTGAAGGTCCTTAAATGGGGGAGAAAGTTAGATGAACATTGTGACTGAAGCAGTAAATGAAGACACTATCTATGAGAATAATCTGAATCTTAGCAGTCCCTGAGAAGTACGTAATTGCTGAGCTGGCTCAAGTTCCTCCTTGTATGTTAAAGTTAATGGCAAAAAGCTTTTTAATTTAAGTGTTTGTTTTGGTCTTAATGTGTCTTGAACTGAATTTTCAGAACTGTTACTTCTTTCTACAAAACGTTGATATAGAATGGTTGTGATGCACCCCTCACGTGTCCCCAGGTTGTTTCACTAGCCTGAGGCCCACGGCACGTTCTCTCCTTTCTGCTGCCACCAGTTGACTTCTGTCAACACCCTTTAATTAGAAGGATTGAGGTCCATGCTGAGTATAAAGTTGAACAAAACAGGTTTATTGCTTACAGTTCGCTTAAACAGGTTCTTCACAGACTTTAAAGTGTTAATTAGATTAGTAATAACTTCTTTCACTCTCAACTCTCTTAGCTCTCTCTAAGTTCCACACTCTTAACTGCCTCCCTTAACTCCTAACTCTGCCACACTCTCTAACTACCACCGACTCACTTCTATGTCAGACTCTCATCTCTGACTACTGGACTGGACTAAAACTCGGCTCCTCTTCTCTCCGGCTCCCCCCTCCCTTCTGGTTTCTCTGGCTCTGCCTCCCGGCAGCTCCCATTGGTACAGGCAAATAACCTCCTACATGAGCCAGAGCACGGTAATTACCACAAATGGTTTAAAGATTTTGGAGCACAGGTTTAAAATTTAATGGAAACCAAAGAAGATGGTGAGATGGTTCTGGGCAGGTTAGAAAAAGTTATAGTTGCCTCACATTTCTCAGGAAGCAGGCTATTTGCAAACCTTCTCTTCTGCGTTGTTCAGATGTACTGTGGAACCACACTGTGGTTTTGAGCATATAAACAAGCCTTAACAAGCCTTTTCCTCTTTTCCTTTTTGTGTACCAAAGGAGAATGGAAGTGTCCACTCACAGATTCAAATTAACTCCATATTTTTATGATGCATGAATTTGGAGAATTTGGAGAATCTGAGGCTTGTTTGTGACTCTGTTTTAGAGGAGGAGTGGCCCTCAAGATGTTCTGTTGTGCAACTCCCATTTTGTCTGATCATGTCCAGGGGCTGCTGGTCTCAACTCCAATGTCAGAAGTGCAATGAATCCATGCCAGGTTTTTCTCTGCATTTAATGGGAGTTGTCTGAGGTGCTGAACCTCATGTATAAATTGTCAGCGACCAGTGCCAGCATCCATAGCTTGTATGGCTTTATACTCCATGGCTTATAAGAGTCATACCCCAGTGTGATTTTAAGGACCATAGCTGTCCTACCTCTTTTCAAATTAGCAGGAACTAGGGTTTGAAACCGTAGGAAAGAGTAAGTGATATATTTCCCAGTTAGACTTACCTAGGTTTAGTTATACTACACATATTAAGGCTGTGTCTCAGAGGTAGAGAACTTGTTTGGCAGAGGTAGCTTGGTTATAAGGAATCTTCCGAAAGGATAAATCAGATTTTAATCCTTGCCAGAACAGACCCTTTGAAATGAGTGTGACTTTGTAGTCAGCAGTAACATGATTTCCATTTATTTAAGTGGTTCTACTCCAGCTGGAACTAAAACTATATTCAACAATCTCTCTGTGTGTAATTTTGAATGTAAGCCAAAGTGGGCAGTGCTGTTGGGGCATTGCTCTGGCTAACTGTACTATGCCTCTATGTGCCACATAGCCTTTCTACTCCTTCCATTTTGAGTTTTTGAGGCTCTGTTGTCCTCTCCCTGAAAGCCCGCACAGGACAAATGCGCTGCACCTCCACCCACCCACTGAATAAAATCCCGGGAGCAAGAATGTTGGAAGAAGGGCTTCCTGTGCCATGCAAACATGTGCACTTCCCTCTGCGGAGCAGTGCCTTGGGCAGCTGTGTGTGAAACAAGAACATGCTCATTGGTATTTGCTCTCATTCTTTCCATTCTGATAGAGGAAAAACCTTTCTGATTTAACATTTGAGTCCTCCCCGCCCTCCTCCCGCCCCGCATCGCCTGTGCCTGCAGGAAACCAGCCTGCAATTGAAGCCGGTGCTCAGTGAATTGTTCTTAAGTGTGGAAGGGAGGGGGGGACCCTGGCATTGGTTTGGAGGGGAGACGCTTTGCTTCTGATAATGAAACCAGGGCTTCATGCCAAAGAGCGTGTTCAAGAGGCTAGCTTTCTGACACAGCACTGGGGATCTGTTAAATGGTGATAGCGGCTCAGAATTTCTCTATGGATGAAATGCAAAATCAGTTAATTTTATCCATTCTTTCTCTCCCTTTGTTTGAGCAACTAGGTTAGAGTCCTCTTTTCAGCATTCTTAATCCGAACGTGTTTCTTGGTTTCTCTGTCAAACAGCTGCCGTTAAACAGTGTTGTCCTTAACTGACTTGGCAGTTTAAGGCATGCTTGAACGGCAGGCGCGCTGGGTCCCCGGAGTGCCTTGTTATGTAAAACCCCTCAAGTGGTCAGGGGTGGGTTGATGCCCAGCGGGAGAGAGCCAAACCTTTTCACCCTCACACCGACTTGGCATTTTTGAGGACGGAGCAACACAGCCGTGGAATAAGAAAGCAATAACTTCTGCTCCCATCGAATGAGATTGAAACCCCCGTGCCTGGGACTGAAGGGTGGCTGAAATGCAAGGGGAATGCCATGGCCACCACAGCCACTTCTGGTCCTTTAGCCACTGTTATGCAAGAATGCTCACCAGATGAATGGGGGTGGAGTGGGGACCTGGGTTCGTTGTCCTGAACCCATGGAGGGCATTGAGTCTGAGAAGGGGAGGCTAGAATCCAGTCCATGGGGAGAGTTCCCAAGGGCAGTGTAGACTGTCCTGTTCTTGCTCATTGCCCTCTAGGTGTTGACGTCTGCGGTCATGATGATGGGAGCAAGGTTAGAACATTCACTTCTGTGCACAGAGAATATTCATGATGCCATAGACTATTTCTTCTGTATCATCAAAACTCTGATTCCTGTTTGCATTACAAACAGCAAGACTGGCCTTATCCAGGACAAGCAGAATAGCTTCACAAAAGGAGCTTCTCACTCTGGGGCTTCTGATGACTCATAAACGTAATGCAAAGATGAGTTTTGTAACTTGATTTTGGGTAGACGTGATAAAGTGTTTTATACTAGATCAGACAATTCCTCCATCCAGGGTGGTAGAATCTCTGTGTCAGTGATGAGGAACCACTGGCCTGGAGGAGAGATGTTGGCCATGGGAAAATTCCTTCTTCTTGCCCACTAGCTTCTTCTACCCTTGTCTCCAGTCAGTGATCAGAGGTGAAAGCCATAGAGTAACAGCTTTCTAAATTTTAAATGCCTTGCATAGAATTGAGGCATACAAAGCAAGCTAGAATGCTGTCACACTGGTGTTTTCTCCTCTATTGACCTACACAGGATGGAACTATACTTTATATGAAAATGTGTCAATTGGTAAGTATGATGCCTAACACCATACTGTGGGACATGGTGGCACTGCAGGTTAAACTGCAGAAGCCTTTGTGTACTGCAGGGTCAGAAGACCTGCAGTCGTAAGATCGAATCCACACGACGGAGTGAGCTCCCGTCGTTTGTCCCAGCTCCTGCCAACCTAGCAGTTCGAAAACATGTAAAAATGTGAGTACCACCTTGGTGGGAAGGTAACAGCGTTCCTTGTCTAGTCGCGCTGGCCACGTGACTATGGAAACTGTCTATGGACAAATGCTGGCTCTATGGCTTGGAAACGGGGATGAGCACCGCCCCCTAGAGTCGGACATGAGTGGACTAAATGACAAGGGGAACCTTTACTTTTACCTATGCCTAGCACCATCCATTTTGCTGTGGGCCCACCTGATCTGTCCGTGACCTCCACTCTAATACTGCTGGAATGCAGGCCCTGAGACCCTTTTTGAACCGAAATTTGGCCCTCTATGCTGAAAACGGTTTCCTACCTCACCTTCTCAGAGTTTCACGTGGAAATCTGGATCTTGTTACCTGTCCTTTAACTGGAGATGTAAGGAACTGAATCAGGACCTTTCTGCATACGTATATAGAGGATGTGTTCACATTTGAGGCATTTCATGTCTCAAATGTGAACCAAGAAGAGTTACTTTATTGGACTGCAGCTTCTAGAAATCCCCAGCCATTGTTGCTAATGAAAATTGAGATTCTGAAGGGTAACGTTATGTCCAATTTTGATCTTGCTAATCCTTATTTCCCCATCTGAACCCCCAAATTCCTGCGAGAACCTGAATGTGGATGGATTTTTCTCCCTCTGTTTCTTACTTTTCTTGCTTTGTTGCATGGCTCCCTTGAGCAATATTCCCTTGTGTTTCTTGATTCTGCAAAGACTAGATCTTCACTTAAAAATTTCTGGGTCATGGAAATGCAAGCTCTCCAAAATTATAAAAATTTGAGGCTGAAATGCTAAGCAGATAAAGCTTTAATTCCTCATGATGGGCAAGGCAAAATTTAAAGGGACATTCTAAATATTGGATGTTATGTAACTGTTCTTTCTGTACTGTCATATTATTTCATCCTGTTCTAATGGAATCAAAGTAAGACTAGGAGCGGTTAGTTGGTCTCTAGACTTCAGGCAGTGGTGACGCCGATAAGGCTTGAGGTCTCTAATGCCAGCTGGCTACTGAGAGCCACTTTCTTCCTGCCTCCAACTTTCATGTATGGTGCCTAATTCACATTTATTCTTGTTAGAATTGTCGTCAGTCCTGCAGTGCATCCTATGCATTTTTACTCAGAAATAGTTCTATCTGTGGTTTGTTGTAGGTTTCTCGGGCTGTTTAGCCGTGTTCCGAAACACGGAACAGTGTTTGGCTGTGCTAAGTGGGGCATGCTTCTGGCTAGTACAGTACAACGAGCTGCAGCTTTTAAAAAAACCTATATAAATATGCCCATTGCTCAAACTTATATCTCTCTCTCCCTCTCATTGCTGTTTATTAGTAATAATGAGTTATTATTAGTGCACAACTTCTCAGCAGTAATGTGCCATGTATGAAATGCACTCCCTAGCAAGGGTGGCCAAACTTTGGCATTTCAGGTTTTTTTTTTACTACAACTCCTAGTATCCCCAGCCTGTCTTGCCAATGATAAAGGATGTGGGCGTTGTAGTCCGAAACATCTGGAGAGTCAAAGTTTCAGCCTGTCTTGCCAATGATAAAGGATGTGGGAGTTGTAGTCCGAAAGTTTCGCCATCCCTGCTCCCCAGTATCAGTATAATTTCCGTCTTTCTCATTGGACTAAGACTTTTTTTGTTCTGCCCTTTAAATCTTTGTTATTTTAACCCCACTTATATGATGGTTGATTTAAATCTTGTCATTTTTCCCCTTCCTGGTTTAAGCTTCCCGTGTTTTGTTTGGCATAAGCTTTTATGGACTGCAGCTACAATTAAGATGCTTAATACTGTTTTTGCTGCAACAGACTAACATGGCTACATTGTAGAAATTTCATTTTTAATTTTTAAATTTTGATCTTTTTTGTTTTATCTTGCTGACTTTGTATTTCCCTTTATATTGTGGATATGGTTTCACTTTATGTTACAGTATTTTGTTAGGATTCTGTTTCCTGTCTTGTCCTATATTATTCTGTTAGAACGTAACTATCTGAAGAACATGGTTTTAAAAGTATCTTATACATATGAGCAATAAGAAATCTATTTTCCCTTTCATGGTTTTGGAGAAACTGTAGTTCTTCTTCCAGTTGGCATTTGATTTCATTTTTTCCCTTTAATTAGTGAGTGTTATCCCTTTGAGTATTTAGTTAGGCATCCTTCAGTCTTGAAAGACTATGGTAACATGCTCTGTATGGAGGACTTGGAACAGCATCTAGTGTGGCTGAGAAGGCCAATTCGAGAGTGACAATTCCTTCCACACTGAAGACAAATCCAATCTGTCCCCTCTCCAGCTCCCTGGTTTTGCTGGTTTCGGGACTGCCTCTTTGCCTCGGCCTGCTGGACAAGGGTCTCTTCAAATTGGGAGAGGCCGTGATGCAACACCTGCCTCCAGGCTGAATGCTCAGATGTCAGGGTTTCCCATCCATTGAGGTCCATTCTTAAGGCCTTCAGATTCCACATGCAGATATCCTTGTATCGCAGCTGTGGTCTCCCTCTGGCGCAATTTCCCTGCACTAATTCTCCATACAGGAGATCCTTTGGAATCCGACCATCAGCCATTCTCACGACGTGCCCAAGCCAGCGTAGACGTCGCTGTTTCAGTAATGTATACATGCTGAAAATTCCAGCTCATTCTTAGAGTATTAAGTTTTCTCATAACTGGGTTTCTGAACTATTAGGGGGGAGAGTAGCCTTTAAAATATTAGTTTATCAAAAGAAATTTAACAGAGGTGTCAGCCTTCTAGTATAAAATTCAGGATGAAATAACATTATTAGGAAGGAATGTTGTCATGTCAAGTATTATCTGACTTCCTTTGGATGTTTGGGTACGGTGACAGGTAAGCGGAGGGTCTCATTTGCTGCCCCACCTGCGTTGGCAGAATGTCTTGGTCTTGCTCTACGGTTGGAGTTAGGCAGAGGAAGGACCTGCTCTAATTGCAAAGCACAGCTTGGAAACACTTTTTGGACTTGGCCCTGGTGCTGCTGGGTACGGAATCCTGGGAACTACAAGCCCCCATAATACAACTTGCCCAGCATTAGTTTTGGGGCCAGTGGAGACAGGCCTGGATTTTTAAAAAGTCTAGTATTCTTCCAAACTATTAGGCTTTGTTACTGTTGTTTTTAAATTTAGAATATATCTTGCTGATATATAATGTTCTCATGGTGTGGAATAACTCCCTGGAATGGCAGTCTCTGCATTAAAAATAACAGAAGGAAAAAGGTGTATGCAGGAATACATCTTGGTAGCATAGCGCACATGTGCGCGTGCACACACATGCACACACACGCTCATACATATAGAAGAGTTGACTCTCTCAAATGCAATTGTCTGCCTGAAATCTGAAATCATATTGCAGTGGAACAGGTTTTTAGAACTTTGAGCACCATTTTCTCGGAAGGGTATCAATTTAGCTTTGTTAGTTTTTACTTTGGAAACAAATTAAAGAAGGAAGTTCTCAAGTCAATCTCCCTCCCTCTTTCTCTCTCCTGTTTCATCAGAAAATTTTACTCCTGAAAATGTCAATGATACTGCCAAAGAAACCTGTTTAAACTGGTTCTTCAAGATTGCTTCCATCCGAGAACTTATTCCCAGATGGTATCCTTTTTCAAATGTGTTTTTTCAGGTGTTGAAAATGCTATGCGATTTATGCTTGCTTTGCATTTCTTTCTTTCTTTCTGAAGAAAAAAAGTTCACAGTGTTGCCCTGTTTTTTTCTATGTTGGTGACCACGTAGTAGTAATAAGCTACTGCAATGATGGCTACTACTAATCAGCATATATCAAACCTGCTCTCTTTAGGAATAAATCAAAAGAGGCGATGGAGGCAAAAAATGTATGAAATAAGTAAATGTGGTATCCCAGGTGAGCATCTGAGTTTTTATCTGTCTGCTTCACCAGGTCCATGAGAGTCTTTGGTAAACTGAGTTAAACAAGTAAGTAGCTGTGCTAGCTATACATTTGAGACAAAGATCTGTTCTAAAATATATAAAAGTCAATACAGTAACCAGATTGCCAGAGCAGGCCTCAGTTTTTGTTGGCTTATGGTCATACTTTAAATTTGGGATTAAAATGCAGAGTCATATGCCACAAAAGATTTATGTACTCTTAGTTTGCTTTCCCTGCTAATGCGAAGGCAGAATCAAATGGATTGTGTACCCCAGCACACAGCTTATTCAGAAAAAAAACCCCAGCATTAATCAGAAATCCTGGATTATTATTGTGCAAGGATGTAGCAGATAGTGGTGAAATGCATAGTTTTAATACCCAAGTCACAGTAGATAGGTAGGTGAGGCTTCTGGAAGGAAGGACCCATATGGATCTTGCAAGTTATCTGTTTTTTAAAAACAGTTTAACTTGTGGTGTCTGTAAACCTCAATGACAGTATGTATGCCTGTTTAAAGTGTGCAGGTTTTACAGAAGTGACATTTCTTCAACGTGGTTCTCTATGAATCCACACCAATGGGTTAAGACAGCGCCTGCGCCGGCCTCTCTGAATCTTCTAGAGCTAAAGAGAAAAGTAACAAAGTTTAGGTTGCCCTGCATAGCACATGCTCTGCCCGCCAACGGCTCAGTTCCATTTTTCCGCCCGCGGAGTTGGAACCTCTCGGTTAGAGCTGTGAGAATTAACTATTTTTTCCACGTGTTTTCGAACTTGGACTGTTTTATCGACCTCCTCACTGCTGTTGCCCTGACCTCAGACCGTCTTTTGGCTTTTCTTCTGCTTCTGGTGTTTTCCAACTATCTTAATAGCTTGATTGCTGCCTATTTACCACCCACTGAGGCGCCACGCGCCGTCCGGACCTTTTCAATTAGTGCTGCTTCCTACCTCAATCAGCCTAAGGAACAGCCATCTCCTAAGAGAGGGCCCTTTCATCTCTGCTCTTCTTGCTCTAGAAAACTCCCCTTCCAGGACGGACATTCACTCAGTGAATCGCATTCTGTTTCTCACTGCAAACATTGTAAGGAGTTTACCAAAGTCACCCTCAAGGCTCGCCAGCAGCGCTTGAAGTATTCCCTCTGGAAATAGACTTTGTCTGCTTCTCAACGTTCCGACATGGAAGCTGTTCCTTCAACTTCATCAGTCCGTTCTGAAGTTAGAGTGGTTCCTGCCCCAACACCAGAACCCTCTAAGGAGAAATCTAAAGACAAGCCTAAAAAGAAAGCGTCTACGAAAAAGTCACTTACCGGTACATCGGCTCCGACTGCTTCCTCGAATGGGTCCTCCAATCCGTTGATGACTGAGCACCTGAAAAAGAAAAAGACTGCTGTCAAGTCAACACCGAAGTCGAGGGAGGTTACTTTGATTGTCCCACCAATCTCGACGTCTCTCCCTTCGCCCATACTCGAGGATTCGTCCCGCGACCGGGACTCGACATCGGAGATGGGTGCCTCTCTTCCTCCCAGACAGGAGCCTCCTGTCGCTGCCGAGAGATCACCGACGGCTAGCCAGCTCATTCAAACTATTGCTGGTATAGCGAATGCCCCTCATAGCCCTATCTTAACTGGGCGGGCGTCTAGATCCCGATCATCGACACCGGGATCTCCAGGCTCAAAGTCTCCACCCACTCCACCTCAGAGACCGGAGAAGCCTGTGGAAGTTCCCTCTCCACGACACCCGATGTCGGATCACGATGAGGAACTTCCATCGAAAAAGACTCGGCGCCATCGCAAGCGCAGGCATGCTTCCGGTGCCGATAGGCGGAGGAAGCATCGCCGTCGAGACTGTTCTTCCTCCGACTCCGATGACAGCATTGACAGAAGGAGGTCATGTCACCGACACCGAAGGAGGGACTACTCATCTGAGTCCTCCTTGACCTCGAGGGACCATAGACGAAGGAGAAAGAGGGCGCACTACACCTCTTCATCTTCCTCCTCCACTACACCTCCAAGAAAACATCGTCACCGAAAACATTCCGGTGTCGATAAGCATGTACCGTCGACCGACAAGGGAGTCTCCATGTCGACAATCTCAAAGCCTGATGCCATTCCTGTACAATCTCAGCCTAATCCACCATCTGCTCCTCATAAGTCTACTGTTGGCAAGAATAAAGGCCAACATCCTAGCATCCTTCAGACTTCTGATGATGAAAGCCAAACCTTCCAAACCTCCTCTGACCAGAAGGAGGAGGGTACTTCTGAAGCATCCTTGGAGACACCTCTTCCAGGTGAACCTCTGGGATCGGATGCTGAGGACATTCACCCATTCTCCCCATCTGAGGACTTTTCATCCTATTCCCAGATGGTCTCTAGGATGGCGGCTGCCTTACGTCTGGAAATAGAGAAATCACCAGCTCATGAGGATGATCTGATTTTTGGAGACATCAACAAAGAAAGGTCTCATCCTGTCAGTTTGTCATATGTGCCTGAGCTCCTGGACCTCATTATGGAGTATTGGGAGCACCCGGCAAATTCTACATCCATGTCGCAGAGAACTGAGAACTTATATCACGTTCATGGCCCCAAGACCTCCTTCCTATTGAAACATCCTGCACCTAACTCCCTCATGGTTGAATCTAGTGCAAGTAGGATTCCTACTAAAGGTCCTCCAACTCCTACTAACAAAGAAGGAAAAGAACTAGAAGTATTGGGCCGAAGACTTTACACCATTATATTACTAGAATCAAGGATTTCAGAAAGGTTCCGAAACTGTTCATTTGTTTTTACGGTCAGCGTAAGGGTTCCGCTGCCTCATCCTCTACCCTGTCCAGATGGTTGGTCTCCACCATTTCCCTGGCCTACGAACTGCAGAAGAAACCTGTTCCTAAAGGTCTCAAAGCTCATTCAACCAGAGCTGTGGCCACCTCGACAGCTCTGCTGCGTGGAGTTGACATCCAAGAGATCTGCAGAGCAGCAACTTGGTCCAATGTGTCTACCTTTGTCACACATTACGAGCTGGACCTTTGGGCTAAGAATGAGACCAAGTTTGGGAGGGCTGTACTTACTTCATTACTACAGTGACAGCCCATCATCCAGTAAGTGAGCTTGCTAGTCACCCACTGGTGTGGATTCATAGAGAACCACGCTGAAGAAGGACAGGTTACTTACCTGTAAACATGGTTCTTCAAGTGGATTCTCTATGAATACACACATCCCGCCCGGTCTTCCCACATGTCCGTCCCTGGTGACTGAGTTCCAACTCTCTCTATGTGGCGGAAAAATGGAACTGAGCCATTGATGGGCGGAGCATGCGCTATGCAGGGCAACCTAAACTTTGTTACTTTTCTCTTTAGCTCTAGAAGATTCCGAGAGGCCAGCGCAGGCGCTGTCTTAACCCACTGGTGTGTATTCATAGAGAATCCACTTGAAGAACCATGTTTACAGGTAAGTAACCTGTCCTTCTGCCCTGGAAATGTGTATCTAGTGGCCGAGGGGCATGATGTTTTCTTTTTTTTTTACAAATATTTTATTTTGGACTTCTGTTGCTCCTTGACTCTTGGTTGCAGTTACGTCGAAGCAGCAATCCTGAAGTGTAACAAATTCCTTTCCAAAACGTAAGGCTTAATAATATTGGATGAATGCTGGGTATTTATTTATTTATTTATTTGATTTATATCCCGCCCATCTGGTCTGGTCGGGTAAATGTGATGTATGTAGAAGTGAAACTTGTGGATTCTCTCCAGAGATTTCTCTGGCCTCTGACAGTGGCTTGATGAGTTCATGTTGACCAAGTGTCTTTTGAGTATAGCCCTTTGTTTGTTTGTTTATTCTTATTATATATTTACTGCCAGCTTCAGGCAGAGACGTTTGTGAGATTTTCTACTTTATAGGGCAGAATAACTTGGCTGGTATTAAATACTATAAATCTGGAATTGGGGGGGTACTATTAGTTGGGCTGCTTCAGGCAGCAAAAATGTCTTGGTCCATTCCCAGATTTAACACATGTTTTGCTGCTTCTTTACCCAAGTCTTGCTTTCCATGTATGTCTGTATTTCTCTTTGCCTGTGATTTCATTGCAGGTGGCCTTACAGTGAAAATTCTGTAGAATTATATGAACTAAGCTGCAATTGCTTTGTTGTTTACCATCTCGTATTTCACATCTTTTGGCTCCATTCTTTCTTCTTGCAGTGGCCTTTGGCTGTCGCAGTTGCTGAATAAATTTTAAACTTGTCAGTTTTATCTTCCTGCACCTTGGACCAAGCATTTGGTATTATCCTTGGCCTCGTATGAGTGTATGACTCAAATACCTGACAACCTTTTAAGTTATTTGTTGTTTAGAGATGCAGTGGTAGGTGGATGTGAAGTAAAATTGTAATATTGACCTTTTTTGAATGCTTTTTGCAGGGGAATTTCAGAGTGTCTGCCACGCCTGACCTCCATGATCCGAGGAATTGGAGACCCCTTGGTTGCAGTCTATGCTAGAGCTTATCTCTGCAGGGTAAGCTTTAGTTCATTTAAAATGTAATTTTCTTGCTCCTTGCTGCAGTAAGGTGGTCAGACCAAGAAGCAGTCAACTTAGCTGGAACTTTCTTTTATGTAAAAAAAATATCCAGCACATCCCCTAATTCTACAAAGGTTATAAATAAGGCTTGTCTCTGTATTGGTGCCCCACTTAATGATTACCCTGCATTACGACGAATCCGGTTTACGCCGATGTTTTTGTGATCGCAATTGCAATCGCAAAACGATGTTTTAAATGGGGTTTTTTCGCTTTGCGAAGATCAGTTCCCTGCTTCAGGAACCGATTCTTCACATTATGACGATCAAAACAGCTGATCGTCGGGTTTTCAAAATGGCCACCGGGTGCTCAAAATGGCTCCCCGCTGTGCTTAGGGACGGATTCCTCGCTATACAGGCACCGAAAATGGCTGCCGTATGGAGGATCTTCGCTGGACGGGGAGTTTTTAGCCCATTGGAATGCATTAACCGGGTTTTAATGTGTTTCAATGGGTTTTTATTTTCGCTTTACGATGTTTTTGCTCTACAGCGATTTTGCTAGAACGAATTAATGTTGTTAAGCGAGGCACCACTGTAGTGCCTTTCCTAATAGGACAGCATTCTTATTCACAGTGCTGTTGCCTTTTGCAGTCTGATTTTTCCATTATATAATGTTTATCTTTTACTCCTTGAGTGTCCTTGTTTCCCATGTATCTGTATGGTGTCAACATAAATCAGTATTTCTTGCAAATATTATGGATTTATGTGGCATCTTTCTAGGTCAGTGGTTCCCAACCTAAGATGCCCAGATGTTCTTGGACTAAAACTCCCAGAAGCTTTCACCACTAGCTGTGCTGGCCAGGATTTCTGGAAGTTGTAGCCCAAGAACATCTGGGGACCCAAGGTTGAGAACCACTGTTAGTATGTCTGTGTAGAATGGCAGTACATGAATGCACATGATAGTGTTCAAGCTGAACAGATATGGAAGAGATTTAATACATGTGATTCTTTGACTGTAGGTTGGAATGGAAGTGGCTCCTCAACTGAAAGAGAGCCTGAACAAGAACTTTTTTGACTTCCTTCTAACCTTTAAACAAGTAAGTGTAGACCTCCTTCTAACCTTTAAACAAGCATAGCAGGCTATGGGATTAAGAGGCATTTTTCTTGCTTTCTTTTGGGGAACTGATAGTTCATGTAGTCCTGCTTCCTGTCTATGGCAGCTTTGTACATGACAGTAAGCTATGATCTGCTTTAATCATGGTTTGTTCCTGAAGAAGCAAATTATGCAGGAGATGACTTAACAAACGGTGCCTTGTCTTTCTCGTTTCTGGCTCATTTCTGTCCTGTTCCTTTCATCAGCTCTAGTTTCAGTGTGGACTGGTGAGAAATAAGCCCAGGGAAAACCACAGATATGGATTAATAATATGTTAAAACAAGCCATGATTTAAGCAAGACAATTTTTGTAAGCCAACAGAAAGCCATGTGTTTGGGTGGTTTTTCACTGGTTACCAAACCAGGTTTGCCAGCAGAGTTGAAAGGGCACATCACAATCCAGATCGCAAGATACCTGCCCATGGCTTGTCATACAGATATCATCAATGAACTTGCACTTTTTCCCACATAAAGTTTAAATAAATACAGGGGAAACTGTGGAGTGACCTTTCCTTTTGTTGTTCTGGTCTAGTTTCTAGTAATCTAAAGTAGCTGAAATGCTTATGTTGTTTCTTAGATGCCCACTAATAGATTTACTCATTTATAAAATTGTGCTAATTGCTGGCAGACATCCTTACCTTCAGCTGTGGATGTATAGAACTGAATCCAACTGTTAGCTTCAACAAGAGTAGATTTGTTGAGTGAATTGAGCTTTTTAAGTGAACACAGTGCAATGCTTTGGTTCATTTAGCTTATTCTGGTTAGCGCTAGCAGATGGATTCAGTCCCTAAATGATACATCTCAGTTTATTCTATAACATTGTGGAATACTTTGATTTTTTTCAAGAAAGTCAATGAGCTTTCATATAAAGAGTTCATAACAATCGTGTCTTTACTGGAGAGAGTGTACAAGAAATCACAACAAGAAATCACAGGGCACGGTTTGTTGGGCACTGTTGGCCCCAGATGTCTTGAAGTATACCTTGCACCATCCCTTGCCTTTGGCCATGCTGTGTGGATCATATGGGATCTCTAGGTCAAAACCTCCAAAGTGCCGAAGGTTCATACATTCTGATCTAGTGTTGCAAGTGACTTGTTGATCTCCTGACACAAAGGAATCGCAAGATAGGGTCTGTGCGGGAACTTCTCAGTGATATTTGTATTTGAGGTAGATAATAGGAGACATTTGAAAAAGGCTTGTGATCTGGATCTTGGCTTAAAATGGGCTTCCAGCATTTCCCCTGAGGCTGCAGATGACTTCATAGTGCAGTAAATGCATAATATAATTTCCCCTGCAAAACTCAAACCTTCTTATGATTCTTTTTTATCTTTGGCAGATTCATGGGGATACTGTCCAAAACCAGCTGGTGGAGCAATGTGTCGAGATTCCATTGTATCTGACTCTTTATTCTCCTGCGATAGATTGGATTTTGCAATGCATCTCTTACCGAGCGGCAGAGGTAAAGAAGTCTTTTGCTGTGGAAAAGTTGCCACATTTTAATCAGAGTACTGGCTTCAAAGAGCAGCACTTTGACATGGTATAACTGACAATTCTCTAATAGTTTTAGTAAGTTGTTCTGCACATAGATTGAAGAAAGTTAAAAATGTGAAATTGAATTGCTTAATCAGTGAATGTCTAGGTTATATATATATGGTATTATTAATAGGTATGGTTTTAAGTGCTCAGAGCCCGCACCCCCCCCCCAATCTTTGATCAAACTTTTCCTTGATGTTGCATATCCTACCTTTCCACCAATGGGCTGGATGACTCATTGAGTTAGATATGGTCAGGAGTTCAATTCCCCACTGTGCCTGCTGGGAGAAGAGCCAGCCTGTGTAGCCTTTGGCAAGCTGCACAGTCCCAGGGCACACCCAGAAGGAGGGGATGGGAAACTATTTCAGAGAACTTTATAACTGGAAAACCCTGGAAAGCCAGAATTGACTGGATGGCACAAATGTATCATTTCTTTTTCCTCCAAGGGGCGCAATGTAGTCTACAGGTGTCTCTTTTTCCCCATTTTCTTCCTCCGAATAGCCATGTAAGGTAGGCTAGGCTGAGAGAAAGTAACTCAAGTCATCTCCTCAATTTCATGGCTGAGTGGAGACCAGAACCTTGCTCTCCCAAATTTGAGTCCGGTGCTCTAACCACGATGTCAGCACATTCTCCTAGGACCACCATTCTACCATTCAATCATTCAGTCGCCCCAGAGGGAGACCACAGCTGCGATACAAGGGTATCTGCAAGTGGGATCTGAAGGCCTTGGAAATGGACCCCAACAGATGGGAAACCCTGACATCTGAGCGTTCAGCCTGGAGGCAGGCGGTGCATCACGGCCTCTCCCAATTTGAAGAGACCCTTGTCCAGCAGGCCGAGGCAAAGAGGCAGTCCCGAAAGCAGCCAAATCAGGGATCTGAACAGAGGGCAGATTGTATTTGTCTTCAGTGTGGAAGGGATTGTCACTCCTGAATTGGCCTTCTCAGCCACATCAGACGCTGTTCCAAGACCTCTATGCAGAGCACGATATCATGTCTCTTGAGACTAAAGGATGCCTAATCTCATTCTCATATATCTGACTATTCATTCAATTACCTTCTACCACTACTCCCAACAGCAAACCAATCCAGATCTGATGTGTTCTGTCTCCACAGTGAAATATCATATGATCAGAATCATGTACAAGAAGACCATCACATAAAGCTGTCAGAAATTGCTGATAATTGAAAAATTTGGAATAGTAAATGAAATATCCACTTATGAAAGACAAGCGATTTTACAGAATAGATTTAAACTAAGAGGTTTTTTGGAAAATCTATTATTCCAAAGCAGATGGACTTCAAACATGAAAAGTGCATGACTGCAGGATACATGCCAACTTGTTAATATAATTAAGGCTGTAGATGTTAATGGAAGCCCTGGTGCTTCAGAATTCTAATGCACTTAAAAATAAAATAAAATTGTGGCCTAAGATGCAAAAAAAGTGGAGAATATAATTCATACTCCTGTTTCTCACTATGCCTGGCATCTAGTTATTTTCCAGGCCTTTCTCAGTGAATAGGTGGGGATTATATGCTTGTCTACTAGCCCAGTCAGTTGCCTGGAATTTAAAAGACACATTTATTTCAGTAGATCTTGCCAAATCAGCAGTGGGAAGCTACTGGGACCCTTGTTCAAGTTTAGAAAAGTTGCTTTTTGGGGGTCTAAATTCAGTTTGCCAGACCCAGCTAGAATGGACCCATTGAATCAACTGCTAAACAGTAAGTCAAGATTGATTCAGTGTTTCTGGTTTAACTGGGACAAGCAGTTGGGTTTAGGCCTAAGATTATGGCTTTCAGATAGCATTCCCAGTGACTGAGGCATTGTGGGAGCTGTAGTCCAAACAGATATCATTTCCAAGGGTGGCTCTTATTCTCTGTGCCATAAAAACATAACAAGAACCCTTCTGGGTTGTCTGGTCTGGGTTGACTGTGAGCAAGTAGGAAGAATCGCTTCGGATCAGACTGAAGGTCTTTGTGGTCCAACGTTCTGTTTGCATAGTAGCCAACCGGAAGCCGGAAGTGAGCGCAATTGCACTTTCCATGCTAAGTCTCTCCTTGTAACTCACCAGTCCAATGAGGGCACATCAGTCGTAGGGAAAGGGAGGGGAAAGTCAGCTTCATGGAGAGCCTCTGTCTTAAGGCATCTGGAGCACTTTGAGGTGGCAGCTGACGACAGGCCAGCCCCTTCTTCCTCATTCAGCTGAGCAATACTATGGGCAGGAGGAGGTCATGGAAGAAGACATCTGAATCTCTTCTCTGTTTAGTCTTGCCACTATCTCAGCAGAGAGTTAGGGGAAAACAGTTAGCATTTCTCTGTTTAGTCTTGCCACTATCTCAGCGGAGAGATGGGGGAAACAGTTAACAATGTGGGACTGGGAAGTAAAGGATCTGGGCCCCTCTGTTTTAGTGCTGTGGGACTGGGAAGTAAAGGATCTGGGCCTCTCTGTTTTAGTGCCGGGGTAGAAATCTAAATAAATAAATAAGTAATAAACAATGAACCTTTTAAATGGCCTCCCTCCCCTGCTGTTCAGTTGATCGCTGGAAACAGCAGCAGCAATTGTGAAGCAACAGAGAATAGCACTTTTTAATGTTTGGAAAGCTTCCTTTTAGTGATGTTGTTATTTACTGACTGCATAGTTTAAATCCACAACCCCAATTGAATCAATTTTAAAAAAACACACACATCATTTAACAAATTAACATTTTTTTACAGCCAGCATGTTTTCTAGTGCAGACAACGGGAGCTGGTTATATTCTTCTGGAACTTTCTGGTGTCATACTTCACACTAGCTTCTCACCTTCAATAGACAGATTACACTTCCTTTTATTTTTAAATCTGATCAGCATCACATTATGACGCCCTTTGGATGGTATGAAGCCAGACTTTATTTTCTAATGAGATACAGTCGTGTGTCAAGGTGTCGGGAGAAAAAAAAATCTTGAAAGAGAGAAAGAAAATAAAAGAAAAAAATCTAAGATAGTTAAAATGTAGTCATGTGGAAATATGAAACCTTTCACAATCCTCACTTTTGGCTCAGTTTTCCCAATCTTTGAAAAAAGCACATAAAGCAAAATCTTGTTCCAGCAAGAAATCTCTTTCGTGTTCACATTTAAAAACAATACTGTTAGGGCTGCTGGGAGACGGTCCCTTTGTGAAGCTGATAGTTAGGGGTGATGGATTTGATGTTTCCTGAATGGGAGCTAACAACAGGAACACTTGGCCCTCTATCTCGTGCTTGGTGCTGGCCTTTAGCTTGTGGCAGACTCACAGCAGTGTTGTTGTGGGAGAAGGCCATTGATAGCCAAAATTAGGAGCATCACATCAGAGAGCTGTATTGGTTAGAGAGCTGGTCTCAGACTTTGCACATCCAGATCTAGTCCACACCAAGCCATGAAACTTGCAACTTGCATGGTGACTGTTGAATCCTGGTCCGTCTCTCTTATCACTGTATTGCTGCTTTGATGTCAGTGCCCAGAGTCCCAGGTTAATATACAGTGGTGCCTCGCAAGACGATTTTAATTTGTTCCGTGAAAATCGTCATCTTGTGAAAAAATCATCTTGCGAGGTTCCCTATGCATCAGTTTAAAAAAAAAAGTCTTGCGAAACATCAGTCTAAAAAAAAATCTTGCAAAGCATCGGTCTCAAAAAAAAGTCTTACGAAGCATGGTCATAGGAAAAAAAGTCTTGTGAGGCACCATAGTGATTGCAAAAAACAATCGTCTTGCGGGTTTTTCATCCCACGAGGCAATCGTCTAGCGAGGCACCACTGTAATCTTTTCCTCTGCAACTCCTCCCAAGGGGGTGCGCAGCCAATAGCGCTGGAATTACTCAGACCCTAACTTTCCCCCCAGCACTTGATTGTGACAATTGTATGGGACTGAGTTCACGTGGTAGCCAAATGCATAATGTGCTGAACTATGGGAAGGCATGGAAAGTACCTTCTGTATAGAGTTGGTGTTATTATCACCCATTTGGACTTAGGAAAGATCGTGTATCTTTCAGAAAGATTGGAATCAGGCCCTCCCTCAGAGAAAATGTTAGCGGGCTGCATCTTAATATACATTATCCGCTGAGAGACTAAAGTTTGTTGTAAAGAATGATTGAGCAAAGGCTGTTCTAGTTGAATGGTTCACTTCCCCATCTCATGAAATTAACTTTTGTAGGTTTTGCTGACCGAGATGATGGAAAGATGCAAGAAGCTTGGCAATAAGTAAGTACGCTGGCAGAACTTAGGTTGGCTTGTTTTTAATGTCAGAAGGGCTGCAATCGGAAATCCTTTTAGAGTGCCATACTGTGGGGTCAGAAACCTGCCCCTCCCTGTAAACACTGGGCTCAGGAGGAGAAGGCTTTAGCCCACACTGGTTTTTTCTGTGTGATTGAACACGGCTTTTGATTCCTGTGAAGGTTGGAGGGCAAGCACTGATCTTCGAATTGGTGTGTGTGTATCTGTGCACAAACCTGCCCCATCGCCTGCAGCAAGAGGGGGCACTGAGGAAGAGCTGCACATTGTGAAGCATAACAGGCCTCCTTCGTATTGAGTCGAGCCATTGTGGTCGGTCTATCTAGTAGTGTCCAGTATTTGGCAGACTTCTTTCGCAGAATGCTTTTGCTTAGGGTGGACAACACCCTAAATGTTTTTGGACTGCAGCTCCCATTTGCCCCAGCTGATAGTAAGGAATCATGGAATTTGCAGGAGGGCCATACCTTCCCAAACCTTGATAGCCGTAAGTGCCCCCCTCTGCCTAGTGTCCCCCCTCTCTTTCCGAGTGCCATCTCAGTTACCTAATTTTCACTCTGTGGCTAAGTTATTAAGCCAGCCGGTCTCTGATGTTACTCATCTAAGAAATTCATCTTCTCCTTCCACCTTTACTCTTCCTCATACTTTCAGTGATATATATTATATTACGCCAATGTATTATATTATACCAACATTTAATATATTCAACATTTTAGCAACATTTGATTCAAAAATTTACTCTGCTCCCTAGGAATTGTGGAGAGGCATTTTTTTTGGCCATGTTTTGACACAGCCACCCACCCATGAAGGCCTCCCATACATCCCCAAATTAAAACAAAAAAATTAAAATGTTTTGGCCACTAGATGGTGGAAGGAGTAACTTATAAAGTAGTGCCTTGCATTACGACGTTAATTTGTTCCAGCGAAATCGCTGTAGAACGAAAACGTCATAATGCGAAAATAAAAAGCCCATTGAAACGCATTGAAACCCCTTCAGTGCGTTCCAATGGGCTGGAAACTCACCGTCCAGCGAAGATCCTCCATAGGGCAGCCATTTTCGGTGGCTGTCTTGCAAGGAATCTGTCCCAGAAACCAGTCTGTCTTGCAAGGAATCCGTCCCAGAAAACGAACCATTTTATTTATCCAGCGGCTATTTTGAAACCGCCAATCAGCTGTTGGAAAATCGTCGTTTTGTGAAGAATCGGTTCCCAAAGCAGGGAACCGATCATTGCAAAGCGAAAAAACCCTATTCAGACCATTGTTTTGCGATCGCAAAAAGATCATCGTAATGCGGTTTTGTCATAATGCGAGGCAATCGCAAAGCGAGGCACCACTGTGTGTGTGTGTGTGTGTGTGTATATGTCTATATATATACCACTTTATATACTATTTTGCATTTATTAGGCCTATTTCTATCTCTCTTTTCCTCTAATGAACACAAGGCGTGTGTGTGTGTGTGTGTCTGTGTGTATATGTCTATATATACACCACTTTAAATATTATTTTGCATTTATTAGGCCTCTTTCTATCTCTCCTTTCCTCTAATGAACATAAAGCATCTTCTTTCTTTCTCTTCCCAACAACCTTGCAAGGTCAGTCAGGCTTGGAAATCTCCCTGGCTCTAGATCGCCCACCGAATACAGCTCGTTAGCTGTACAGAGCCTCAAACCTAGATCTCCTGAGTCCTGTCCCAGGACTCTTGAGGCGAGACTCCTTTTCTCCCTCTCCATCGTGGGAAGTTGCTCCTCCCCACAGTGAAGAAGGTACTTTTGTGAGTAGGGGAAGGAACTGGAATATGAGAGGCACTCCTTTTGTGCAGTAACAAGAACAGTCTGCAGTTCTGCTTTTACAAGGGTCTACTCTACTGAAAGATTAAAACGAATGGGAATGTGTGTGTGTGTGTTTGGTATTTTGTACTGATACGGATCATATTTCTTCCAGTGCCTTGCTTTTGAATTCAGTAATGTCTGCCTTCAGAGCTGAATTTATTGCTGCAAGGTCCATGGATTTTATTGCCATGATAAAGGAGTGTGATGAATCCGGCTTTCCCAAGGTAAGCCTTGTTGTTGTGGAAATTTGCCTCTTAAGTCAATGCCATGAGACCTCACAGCAGATATTTGTGCTTTGTAGGAGTCACGCTTTTTGTTCTTTTTCTTGCGTTGTGTCTCTTCGGAACACAAGCTGATTCGCCTTCTCCATGGTAAACTCAGCTTTGGGCACCGTCTAGATTTCAAAGAAGAGAGGTGTCTTGTGTTTCTTACACTTTTTAATTGATCAGCCAATTCGCATTTTAAAAATATTTCAGTGAACTAAATAGATGTTCTTGATTATTTGCACAAGTGTGTGTGTGTGATTCCACCTTGCAGTGCATGTTCCACGATGCTGCTGTTATGCAGATCTAATTGATGATGTTTGTATGAGTTCACCTGGAGGTTTTTTTTTTCATTCAGCACCAACTATAATGTTTACCTATCTGAGGCATTCATAGCTTTATTTCCATGTTTGTGTTTTCCTACTGAAAAACTTCAGACACGGCTTGGGGCAATTTGTATTCTTCCTCCTGGGAGTCACGTAAAATAGATATATTTTAAGATAAGGGACTAGAGATGGAAGTATTCATATACGAATACAAATACCCCTGCACAGGTGGACATAATGAGGGTCTACTCACCCATCCGCTGCCGCCACGGGCTCCGTGCTCCCTTTCAATGGCTCCGGAGCTCATGGTTGACGAGCCACTCCCGGGTGAGCTCTGGAGCGATTGGAAGGGAGTGCGGAGCCTGCAGCAGCAGCGGGCAAGTGAGTGGACAGTCCGGCCCCAGGGGACTGGACCCTTGTTGTGTCCACCTGTGCGAGGGTATTCATATACGAATGCCCCCATCTCTGTAAAGGACCTGTTCATTTCCACCCCAGTTTCTGTTTATTCAAGTGAAAACCAATGGGCTCTGTGAAGTGGATGTTCTTTCTGTTGCATCTTCACAGCATCTTCTCTTTCGTTCTTTGGGGAGCAACCTGGCCTTAGCGGATCCACCCGAAAGTGATCGGCTTCAGATTTTAAATGAAGCCTGGAAGGTTATCACGAAGTTAAAGAACCCACAGGTAGGACAGGTTTTTGGTGGTGCAGCTGCAGTCACAAACCTGGTCATTTCTGTATATTTTGTCTTGAGAATGTCACCTAGCTTGTATATGCATGCTAAGAAAATGATGTAGGAATGATATTTGAATTTCAGGTGTTTATAATGATAGTCCTTCACCACGTCTAACAGTTTTCAGCTCCACTTGGAGTAGGTCTTTTGTAAACCTAATGGATGTTAACTTTCCATTCAAACCACCCTGAAAAAAAATTGCACAAATACAAATGGCTCACAGCAATTTTATTTATTTAAAATGTTGTCACCCCACCTTTCTCCTAAAAAGGACTCAAGATGCCTTACAAAATAAAAAAGTGAAACCTAAAAACAATAATTACTGTATTAAAAAGAATTAAACAAATATCATATTAAAAACTTGTGAGTAAATGCAGTATTAAAAGCACATTAAACACCACCCTAGTAAAGATCTTTAATGTTAACAATAACATATGTTAACAATTTGTGGTTGCCCTTGCTAAGGCTATGCTATTGAAAAACAGGTTGGTACATGATGCCATATCTGATTAACAGGAAATCCCCTCCCTTTAGCTCTGCGCTCTGGCTTCTCCAAAACACTGCACGAAGGATCTCTTTGTCATGTACTTCCCACATTAATCTATTAGGGTTATTGCTGTTTGTTTTAATATCTCTATTTTTATTTTTGTTTTCTATTTTATGAGTTGTAACCCGCCCAGTGTAGTGCTGTGATACTAATGGGAGTAGGATACAAGAATGAATGAATGAATGAATGAATTGAATATTTATTATTCCTCATGGATGAATGAATGAATGAATGAATATTTATTATTCCTCATGCAATACCTGTTCAAATCATGAAATGCTTTGTTTAAGAATGGTACACGCAGTTGTGTCTTTATTGTATCTTTGGGATATGGCTTTATCAATAATAGGTGTGAGTTTAGGCTATGGTGGAGGTACTTCAAATAAATTTCTAGAAGTGTTTTGTACTTACATGTATTTTATTTTTAGGATTATATCAACTGTGCAGAAATCTGGGTGGAATATACCTGCAGGCATTTCACGGTATGTGGATGTTGAAATTTTGTTCTCCCTTGCCACCTAGCATCTCTGTATACTTTATAATATTTGATGTGGATTCTATCAAAAATATTTGGGATTGATTTTTTTTTGTACAAGAATGTGTTTCAGATTGCCTCTAGATAATTGTTCACATGACAAATTAACTTCTGTGTTTGAGAAGAGGGTTGAAAAAGACAGCAAGCACTTGTGGAACTAACCCTTATTTTACTTTTGATTTCTTTTTCTCTTTTCTCAAAAAAAAAATTTTTTTAAGCAGAGGAGAGTAGAACTTGGCCCATTAAAGACTTTTAATCATAAAACCTTTTGGCCAGAATCCTGTTGCACACTTATGCCTGCATTAACTCCAGTATTATACATTTCACTTGATTAAATTTCATTACTGTAGATAGCCCAAAGAGAGTAACTTACCATTCTGTATAATTGACTTCACTGTTTAGCAAGGAGAAGGATGTCAATTTTGATTCTGGATTAGATTTGAGCTTTGACCATTGAAATCTAATTACTTTTTCTAAATTCCTAGTACTTTCACTCCAGTTATTTATGATTATTCTCAGCTGTGTAGCTTTGTAATGCAGTTTCTTACTTTGTCTGGTTTTGTTAAGTTGAATTTATTTCATTTTACTGCTGTTTTGTGACATTTTAACTTGGATTCTGCAGAAGCGTGAGGTCAATACTATTTTGGCAGATATCATCAAACACATGACCCCGGATCGGGCCTTTGAAGAGGCCTATCCCCAGGTAAAAGAAAAGTTCTTCTATCAAACATACAAGTAGGCCCAGCCCATAAGCAAACAAACACAAACGATTTTATCAAAATAAGAAGCACAGAACATGTTGGAGATTTCCGGGTGGCTTTAAATGCAAATAAACTATCATTATTTCTATGATTTGGAAGGAAAATATGTTCCATGGAAGACAATGTAAATTGTCAGCAAAAAAAGAGAAGGCAGGGCCAGAAACAAATGGGGTTTAAGATAAGGGAAGTAGAGTAGGAGATGATATAACACAAAGCTTCCTTAATGTATGTCTCTCTTTCCTCTCCCTTCCTGATCTTAGCTTCAGTCAATTGTTCAGAAGGTCATCACCTATTTCCATGACTTCTCTGTGCTCTTTTCATTGGTAAGTAGGAGGATCACTGATGAACTGAATTATTTGTTCTTGAAAATGAGGGAAAACACTTTGCATCTTCTTTTGGAAATGGTAGAACAAGGGGAGATAAAGGAGCAGGATGGGTGGAAGCCTCATTGCCATGGGTCCTCCTGGAAGCAGCTGTTTTCTTTTGCCATCCCAGCCGTGCCACAGGGCTTCAAGGAAAAGGGGGTAACCTTGGAATTTGAAAGGCCAAAGTCCGGGGGGGGGGGAATGGGAACCAACACAAAGCAAGAATGGCTTTTTTTTGGCTTTTTCATATTCATCTCTTTAACCTTGAAGTCCTCTGAGCTGTTTGTGCTATTTAAGAATTTTCACCCATGTTAAGTCTGTTGCAGGAAAACCACCAAAGAGTTATAGGCTAAAAAGCTTATTATGGCATGAGAACACTGGCCAGTATCTATGAAAACGTATGCCTTAGTTAATTTAGTATTTGAGGTGTCACATGACTGTATTGTTTTAAAATATGGTTTTAATTACAGCGGTGCCCCGCATAGCGACGATAATCCGTTCCGGATAAATTGTCGCTATCCGGAATCGTCGCTATACGGAATGGAAAACCCCATAGGAATGCATTAAACCCTGTGTAATGCGTTCCTATGGGGGGAAAACTCACCGTTATGCGAAGATCCTCTATCCGGCCACCATTTTCGCTGCCTCGGTAAGTGAGGAAATTGCGCGAAAACGCTGCGGGCGGCCATTTTCTTCACCCGGCAGCCATTTTGGAACCACCGATCAGCTGTTCTGAAAACATCGCAATGCGAAGACTGGTAAGCGCAACGCTTACCGATCATCACGATGCGATTTCCGCCCTTCTAAATCATCGCTATGCGGATTCGTCGTTAAAAGGAGCGCTCGTTATTCGAGACACCACTGTACTTTAACATAAGTTTTAAGTTGTTTTTATCTTTGACAGTGCCTTGTTCCTTGCTTATGGGACATGGCATAGAGGGGATTAAAATGTTCAGATCTTCACTTGGTCCTGAAACTCAGCCGTAGATGGCCTTGGGTTAGTAGGTTAGGAGTGTGGGACAGCTACGTACAATGCCCTGAGGAAAGTGAGATAAAGAAATGAAATAATCTCTCCAGTGATTTGTAACCAGGCATGGTTATAGCTCTGTAGTAGATCCCAAGTCCAGCATGCAAAGACTTGAAGACTCATTCCATAATATCTCTGTTGGAAGATTTCAGGTAATACAGTAGGTTCTGCAGAATTTTTCTTTTGGACACCTTGAAAGGCTGCTGCCAGTTGAATCAGACGTTATGGGTTAGATCAGAATCATGGAACATGTGGCTCTTCAGATGTTATAGGACTACATCTTGCATCAGCATAGACAAAGGATGATGAATGTGGTAGTCCAGGAACCTAGACGAGGAGGACTATACATGCCCCATTCCTAGGCTGGATTGACCAACAAGGTAGTTTCATGCCTTAAATTGGTTAAGTTGGTTTGAATGGATAAAATTATCCACTCAGTTTCTAAATGTTTTTCAGTTTGGGGAGTGAATTTCTTCCCCGCTGATTATTAACAATGATTTCAGTCCTACGTATCATACAGAAACCAAGATCATGCTTGAACATTGATTACTCAACATGATGGTATTTTCACTGACTTTTTAGGAGAAATTCCTGCCATTCTTGGACATGTTCCAGAAAGAAAGTGTGAGAGTGGAGGTTTGCAAGTGCATCATGGAAGCTTTTATTAAGTAAGTATAAAGCGGTGTGATTAAATGCACTCTAGAGAATCTGGACAATCCGTTGAAGGGTTGTTAAGTGCAACGGATTGGATGTGTCTGCAGTCCATTTGACATTGGAAAGATTCTTAATAGGCACTAAGGATTTGTCTGAAAAGAGAATTTAAATGCAGTATAATTCCTATTGATCAGTTATTTATATAAATAGCTTGTTATGAAATGAAATGCATTAGAGCAGTCATGTTCTGTAAAAATATATTTTGCTGTGGACAGGCTGGATACAGTCCAGTGATGTACTTGAATATGAGCAAACTGTTTGGGAAGTGCAGATCAGAAATGCAAGGATGTGTAGCCTGAAAAACACTCACTGTTAAGCTGATAATCTGTCAGTTACGGAGAGTGGTCTATCATTTGCCCAATGGGTGCAAGATATGTATGTGCCGAGCTTTGTTCACTTGTCTGTGAAGTGCTGGCATCCTTTGGGGCCGGATTGTGCCCTGTGTTCTTGCAACAGAAATCTCTGATACAGTCTCTACGTCTTGGAACTGTTGCCTAATTAAAGACATCTATTTAATTAATTAAATTGCATTTTGGGGGGGGGTGTTGTACAGTATTTTTAGAACACTGTTTTTGAAGACATAAGCATGCTTCTTGTTTTTTGGCAGTGGCAGCTGTACAGTACTTGGCAGCTGGCACTACCTTTAAAGACGTATTCTACCACCTGTGAGAATGAATGCCTTCTTTAAAGAAGGTGCCTGACATCTAGAGATTTTCTGAGTATCCTTTCCTCTGTCGGTCAAACCAGATGTTGAGCACAAGCAGAACTGTAGCCATTGAGAAACAAGAGAAAGTGACAGCAGGCCTCAGGACTCCAGAAGTTTGTAGACACGGGAGAGATCCCCCATGCATCTCTTTCCAGAGAACCTTCACTCCAAAATGTTCCTCTGAGAATGAGCACGATCTAGAACCACAGAGTGTGGGGAGTCACTTGGGAAGAAAAAATAGAAAAGAGGCAGAGGGATGGAGAAATAAATGGCTACCTAGGAACAATTATATTAGGAGGTGAAAACAGATAGCAGTATTTTCTTGCAGATCCTGTTTATTTGAATTCTTAGAAAAATTTGCCTGATTAATTGATGGTACCTTTTGAGCCTTTAAAAAAGGCGTTTGCTCAATTAGCTGATTTAAGGAATGAAAGCCTTCTGCTTATATGTTTCTTGTTTTATATGCAGCAGCTTTATTGGGCCAAACCAATGCTTTACCATATGCTTCTCTGCTTTGCTGACTGCAGCTGTGATATAAACACATGACCATATGGGTGTTTCAAGCGCCAGTGCAGAAGCAAAGAAGTCAGCGCCTCATTAATTAAAACAAGTCAGAACAGCAAATAGCTTCTATTTCAGTGCTGAATACACTCTTTCAAGTGTTTTATTTCTCTTTTTAATCGCTTTTTGGTAGTGAGACCAAAAGTTCTCCTTGCAGAATTTAAAAGCAAGGAGTTCTTTTCATTCTTTTTTACTTTAGAAATGTTGAAGTGTTGACAATTTAGTCTTGTGAAAACAGTCTAAAGAAACGTCTCCTGGGGCATTTCTTGACTTTCTTGATCTATTTATGAATAGCGCAGTGTTATGCTTCGTTGACCTTGTATAGTAATGGGTCATAAAATCCTTGCGTGTTAACTTCTGACTGGTTTAGTAATATAAAAACATTAGTTTGTGATGACTGGCATTCCAAGTACTGTGGCATGTTGACAAAAATGTAAAAAGGAAGAAGACGACTAACAGATTTATTGCAGTGTGAGCGTTTGTGGATGAAAATCCAATTCTTCAAAAACAAGGAGTGTAATTGCATGCCCCCTGTATTTATTCCTGTGGTGGTAAGAGTTAAATCCAGGTGAGAATATAGATAATTCACAGAGTTCCATTGGTTTATTAATACAGGAGTGGGACTATCAGTACTAGTCAGAGAGTGATAAGCTGTATGCTGGGTAGACTTGGCTGTCACAGGAATTCCAAAAATTCATAATGGAACAGGATCTGTCAAAGGAGGATCTGTTTTGTACCCACAAGATATTACACAAAGCTGGGTTATTAATTTGTGCAGTGCTCTAAGAAACCTTGGTCTCTATTTAAGGCGAAATACAGTGTTCCCTCACTACAACAGCAGCGTATTTACTTTCTCTGAGTGTTTGGAAACATTTTACTGTCCCAAACTAACTTCATCTTGTATTGCAAATAAATTCCATTGTATGTCAGATATCTGCCCCCATATATGTAATATCAAAAGAGGAACATGTACATACCTGTAATTCCTTGGATCTGTTTTTGGTTGATTTTATTTTAATTGTTGCACAATTTCACTCCAGTCTCCCAGTGGCAAACATCAAATCAATAGGTTGCTTGGGTTTTTTTTATGTCTCTTCCTTTTGGGACGTGGTGGCGCTGCGGGCTAAACCACAGAAGCCTGTGCTGCAGGGTCAGAAGACCAGCAGTCGTAAGATCGAATCCATGTGACGGAGTGAGCTCCCGTCGCTTGTCCCAGCTCCTGCCAACCTAGCAGTTCGAAAGCATGCAAAATGCGAGTAGATCAATAGGGACCACCTCGGTGGGAAGGTAACAGCGTTCCGTGTCTAAGTCGCACTGGCCATGTGACCATTAATTCCTTGGATCTGTTTTTGGTTGATTTTATTTTAATTGATGCACAATTTCACTCCAGTCTCCCAGTGGCAGACATCAAATCAATAGGTTGCTTGGGGTTTTTTATGTCTCTTCCTTTTGGGAGACGGATTTATAGAAAGCAAACTGGTAAGGGGCCATACTTGGTGGGGGGGGGCTGTTTGCTACTGTGCAGAAGATTATGTCCTACCTAGAATATGCAGGGGTCTATTTTACTGTGAAGGTATTTACTCTTTATTTTCAGTTCCCATCAACCCCTGGCATCATCTGTTGTCTTCAGAGCTACACTGTTGGTCCCTTTTGCACATTATTGGACCGAGAGCAACAAAGCAAAGGGCATGGGATCAATTGCTTCAGTTTGACCCCGGCTCTTTTTCTCCCTCTTCTTTTTATTGATTGGCCAGAGTGTCTGAAAAGCCTGAAGCAATATTCCAGAGACTATTGTGCTCTTTGTTATTCTGTTGCTGGCTAGAGTCTATGTAAGGGTATTTTCCTAGGAGGTGCCTGTCCTGTTAGAAAGCCTGCATTCCCTCTTCCTCATCTTCACACAGATTCCCCCGGGATCTCCAGCTAAGTGGCTGGCATTCTCTGTCGACTGGGGCCAGCTGCCTCCTTCTCTTCGGAGATGGCAGAATTTTCCATTTATTTCCTCCCTGCCCACCACCCACCACCCCCGGGCTGTGTTGGCCGTCTCAGTTGGGAGTGAAAGAGTGAGCGCAGTGCACCCCCAAGGCTGCTTCGCTCATCTGACATCTCTGTGTAAAAGGCCACCGTAATTGGGGCCGTTGTCCTTATCATTCTGCAAGATGGTGGATAGATGGTTGTGGCATATGGTGGGAAGTATCTAGGGTGGAATCCCAGTAAAGCAGGGGTGAACAATTTGTGGTTCTTCAGATGTTCATAGACTACAATTCCAGTCAGCTCTGGCCAGTATAGCCAGTCGCCAATATAGCCAGTCTGATGGAGAGCTGGAGGTTTCCATCCATGAAATAAAGCAAAGACTTTTTCATGTGTAATGGCCAAATCCTGCCTCTGCCTTGGCTTCATGCACTTCCCCTTCTGCTCTGATTCCCTTCCTGGTCCAAGCAAACCATCATTTCTCCAAACTATCAGCCCTCTTCCTATGCTCACTACACAGGTAGGAACAGAACTTTTATCTGCTGACCCTGCCTTGATGTCTGTGCCTTCAGCAACGTGTCTGCCCGTGAGAAGCTGTGCGTTCTGCACGAACTCTAGCCATGGAGGATTACGAAGCCCATAGTGTGGTGGTTGGAGTGTTGGGCTAGCCTTAGGAGACTTTGGTTCAATGAGCCATGAAGTTCACGCCGTGACCCCAGGCTAGCCTGTCCATCTTGCAGGGTTGTTATAAGAATAAAAAGGAGGGAGGGAAGACCATATACCCCACAGTGCCCTGTTTCCTTGGCAGCCATTTTGGATTGTTTTGGGGAAGTTGCCCCTCCACCTCAGTTCTGGTTCGTGATGATTGCAGTGTGCCCTGTTGAATCAGGAGCTGTCCGCATGAGCTGCAGTAGCATCTTTGCAATGTGGTAGACAGAAAAGAGGACTCTTTAATGCCCTATAATTGAAGAGCACTTGGAATGAATGCTTATTTTCTGTGACAAGACGTTTACACAGCAGGAAAACAGTAATCCACATCAGTGGAAAGAACCACTAATTGCCAGGCTAAATGTTGTTCTAGCCTCTGGGCAAGCAGAAGGCACTGCTGGAAACTAACATGTATATTCAGTGGCCAGGCAAGATAGCTTGCTGCCTGAGGCAGAGTAGCAAGGGGTGTCCTTGTGCTTTGGCCCCAGCCAAGACGTGTGCTGCCCAAACTTAGCCAAGTTACTTTGGCATAGGACATAGAAAATCGCTCAAATAACCTTTCTGCTGGAGGAAAAACACAAGGACAATGAAGTGAATAACAATGTGTTGCCTAAGATAGCCCCTGCCTCATTCTGTACAGTGGTGCCTCGCTTAGCGATCACTGCATTTTACGGCGAAATCGCTTAGCGACGCTGTTTTTGTGATAGTAAAACCGATCATTTTACGGCGTTTCCTATGGGGAAAATTTGCTTTGCAATGATCGCGGGGAAGCGATCATCACAAAGCCCTCATTTTCGGCCAGCTGATCGGCGGTTCCAAAATGGCCGCCGGGGAAAAAATGGCCGCCCGCTGTTTTGCCTCACTTTAGAGGCACCGAAAATGGCCGCCACAATGGAGGATTTTCGCATAAGGTTAGTTTTTAAGCCCATAGGAACACATTAAACGCGTTTTAATGCGTTTCTGTGGGCTTTTAAAAATCGCTTAGCGATGTTATCTCTTAGCAGCGATTTTTGCTGCACGGATTAACATCGCTAAGCGAGGCACCACTGTATAATGGTAGGGCTGGACTGGAGTACGTAACAGCTGCATTATTGATGTAGGGCAGATTAACCTTGTGCAAGTTCCTTGATAGGCTCGCTAAAGTCTGAGAGCAGTTTTTGCAGAAGAAAAGCTGTGGCGGGGAGGGGGGGCATAAAGATATTGCTGTCCACCAATCCCTCATCCAAAAGTCAGACTCCTCCGCCTCATGTTTTTCCAGGCCTAACAGCGAGAGCCAGGGTTTTAACCAAGTTATTATGTGCCTTTTACATTGTATATAAATTTGTCTCTGCTTTTAAGTCTTAACAGCTGACACTTGGGTGAGGATATCTCTGACTGGAACTTTACCTTACTCCCTCCTCCCATTATCACAACTATCCTGGAGATATTTTGTTCAGCAAACCTCACAGAATTTGGAAATATAACAGGAGGTGTTTTTTTTTTCATTTTAACTACCAGAAGTTGCCCTTCCCCCTTCTGACTGTGGCATTCTGGGAGCTATAATTCAAACAGTAAGACTTCTGAGATCTTATGGTGGAGTGAGACGCCCTATTGCAAGTGCAGGCCTACTTACAGTAACCCTTTGCTTTTTAACTACAGAGAATGTTTTCATATCTTGTTTTCCAAAATGTGTATATTTTCCTTTTAGGCACCAGCAAGAACCAACTAAAGACCCCGTCATACTCAACGCCCTTCTACATGTGTGCAAAACCATGCATGATTCAGTGAAGTAAGAGACTTTTTTTTCTTTTGTCCTTCTGATAAATAGCATTTTAAATTGTGACGATGGTTGTTTTCATGACCAAATCTGAAGCTGAGATAGGAGAGTTGTCGTTGTCCCATTGTTGGGTTGTATTTAAAGTTCTTGCTAACATAGATGAGAGCTGTGCAGAAGTAGAAGAAAAAAACACCTAGTGGAGCCGTTCGCTCCTTGAGGGCTATTTTGTTCTAGATGAAAAATAAAGGAAGGATCCCGAAAATGCTGGCGACTTCACAACTTAACTAATGAGAGAACGAGAAAGAGAGAGATGGTGAGGGTCAACTGAAGAGCGCTGAAAGAGATAGTGTGAGACGCGGTGCGATTTAAGGCCTTTTCCCATTCCTTTGACAGGAAGTCCTTACAGCAAACAATGCAATATTAATGTGGGTCCTTGCTTAGCTGCTCTGTATTGTTATGAATAATACATACAAATGATGAAAACTTGTAAACATTTTTGTGTCGTTTTGAAATCTGTAAGCCACATCTTTCTTGTCGGATTGTCTTTCAGCCAGTCCTTCAGCAGAGAGATGCCTTCTTAATATTTAGGGATGACAGGATGCTAAGGAGAGGACTCGCAGAAGCAGAACACAGCGGGGGCATTCTTGCGTTTGGTTGCTTTTTACAGTTGCGTAGATTCAACACTTGGATACTGTCTCCTGCACTGAAGAGGAGGCCAGTGGAATTTGAATGGTACCCAGTGAGGGAGGGAGAATGAATCACAGTTGTGCAGTTCATCCTGGCAATTGCTGCGGGCCTTACAATAATGATTCCTACGTGCCACAGAATAGCAAAGTGATATGGTCCTTTCTCAGCTGGCTTTAATACCTGCACGGTCAGTTGAATGTTACATGAATGAGACAGGTGGGGCTGGCCGTATTCACACAATTAGAGGACTGAGAGATTTAACATCAGGATCATAGGGGAGGCCACGAACTGACAAGCGGAGTTGTTCCGGGTGGTTCATGGCCTCGCTAACTCTGGTCAATTAGGGCCTCGTTCTGATTTTTCAAGCAATCAGTTTTTTCAGATCAAGGATTGAAGCCACCTGTTCTGACCTTGACTCCGCCAGCAGATTAGTCGACCCAGGGGTGACCATTGCTGTACCATCTGTTTCTGCCCGGATCGGTTCAGTTTGACCTGCTTTCAGGGGAGGAAGCCCCCAGGGTGATGGTGAGCGGCCTGCCTACCATTTACCCGCTTGACCCTTGCCCAGCTTGGCCGCTAAAAGCCACTAAGGGGGCTATGATTGAGTGGATTGTGAGTATCGTAAATGCATCTTTGAAGGGAGGGCATCCTCCCTCCAAGCATAAAGGAAACCATCGTCTGACCTTCGCCCAGGTTGGCTTCAGTCAGTCTTAATAACTTCCATCCGATTGTCAATATACCATTCCTGGGAAAGGTGACCAGGAGAGTGATCGCAAACCAGCGACAAGATTCATGGAGGAGCAGGATTGCCTTGATTCATTCCAATCTGCATGCAGGCTGTGGCAGGGTACTGAGATAGCGCTAGTTGCGCTGCAGGATGCCCTTTTAATTTATTTATTTAAAATTTATCTTGCCTTTCTCCTTTCAAAGAACCCAAGGCAACCTTTTAAGGGTGGCCAACAGGAGCAGATTGTACCCTGTTGGTTCTACTTTAACTCGCAGCGGCTTTTGCTACCAGCCACTATGGTATCCTCCTGGACAGGCTCTCAGAGATTAGGATTGGGGGCCTAGTATTGCGCTGGTTGTGATCCTTCCTCACAGACCAGGTCCCGAGAGTGCAGCTTGTGGATGATGTATCAGCCCCTTGGACCCTCACTTGTGGGGTTCTTCATGGGTCCTCAGTATCCCCAATGCTGTTCAACATCTATGGAATGTCACTAAGGGAGGTCATTGGGAGATCTGGAGTGAGATGTTGTCAATAAGCTGATGACCCCCAGCTCTGTCTCTCCTTTATCACCCCTGTAGTGGATGCCGCCCATACACTTGAGCATTGCCTGGCTTTGGTACTGGAATGGATGAGGGCAAACAGGCTCAAACTGAACCCAGACAAAACAGAGGTCCTGTTCCTGGAAGGGCCTGTCAAAAGTTTGGGAGGGGGTTCCCTAGACTGGATGGTGTTGCCCTCCCATTTAGGGACCAAGCTCGGAATTTGGGTGTGCTCCTGGACACAGCTCTTTGTTGGGTACTCAGATTGCAGCTATGTTCCAGACCAGCTTTTTACCAGTCTTGGCTAATCCCCCAACTCCGCCCCTACCTAAACGATGGCTCCCTCAGGACCCTGGTGCTGGCATTGGCCATTTCAACTGGTGAAATGCTCTTTGCGTACGTCTTCCCTTGAGGCTGATCCAGAGACTCCAGCGGTCCAGAATGCTGCAGCCAGACTTGTGGTTGGGGCGAGCAGATATGATCACATAACCCCGGTTCTGGCTCATTCCAGTGGCTACCTGTGGAGTCCTGGACCAGCTTCAAGGTTTTGACTCCCACATACAAAGCCTACCACCGTTTGGGCCCATATTACTTGTCGGAGCGTCTTGCCCCAGTGTCAATGGCCTGATCCACCAGGTCCTCGTGGAAGATGGTAGCCACTCTGAGGGAGACCCATAAATCTCCTATGAGAAGTAGGGCCTTCTTCATGGTGGCTCCATCTTTGTAGAATCTGCTTCGCTTGGCCCCCTCCCTGGTGACATTTCAGAGACCATTGAAGACATAGCTCTTCAAGGGAGGCCTTCCACCCTGACCCTAGTTGAGTTGAGGTACTCTCACTGTCCAGTCATTTGTTGCCTGCATTTTTGTTCTTATTTTTTGTTGCATGTGGTTTTAGTACTCCTCTGGCACCCTCTGATTTTGTGGGGTTAGAATGTCTATGGTTTTATTATATTAATCGTTTGATTGTTTATCTGATTGTGAACCACCCAGAGTAGTGCTGTGGCACTCATGGGTGCAGTATATAAAATTTAAATAATAAATAAATGAATAAAATAAACAGGTGTAGGACAAGAGCAGGAGTTAAACACACAGCAGAATCTGGGAAAAATTGGTACCAAGTCAACATCTTTTCCAAGCTTTCCAAGCTTGGAAAAGATACTTTGTTGAACTTGGATTCCTGGAATCCACCCGTCAGTATATCCTGGACAATTCTGGCAGTTGTCATCTGAAGTATAGCTTGGACAATTCTGGCGGTTGTTGTCTGAAAGGTAACTTTTCCAAGCATTGGAAATCAGCTCCAATGAGAGAAAGGGGCCCTCAGCTGCCCTTTCCATATCTGAGTGGGCTATTCATGTGAACGGTATACTATGTGAGTAGCCAAGGTATATCCATTCCTTTTCATAAGCTGAAATACAATTTCCATCTGGATCTTGCATGAGTAGTTTTCTTCTGATGTACTGTTCCTATCCAGAGGCGAGGGGCCACTGCCGAGAAGGCCTGCTTTCTTGTTCTTTTTCTTTGGGCCTTCCTCGGCGTTAGACTAAAGCGAGTGATTCAGGTAGATCTAGGTGTGAGGAGGCGTTCTGCCGGATATTGAGGTACTAAACCATTTAGGGCTTTATATGTCATCATTAGTACTTTAAAATCAATGCAGAAATGAATGGGCAGCAATGCAGGGCAGCCAGAGTAGGGGAGATATGTTGATATTTTTTTCACCCCAGTAAGAATTCTGGCCACCGTGTTCTGCACCATTTGAAGCTTCCACATCAGTCTCAAAGGTAGCCCCACATAGAGTGCATTACAGTAGTCTAATCTCGACACTACAACTG